CACGGTGTGAAAATTTAACCTCATGGTTATTGTGACCAAAATTACCACGGTTTTCGGTACTATCGCGGTATTTTTTTTAAACGTGCAACATTTTCACACAATTAAATAAACCCTGTATATCAGGAAAATATTGTCCTCAATTTGTGTCTAAATTTTGCCTAAAATGTGTTATTTTGTAATTATGTTGTTTACTTTTTTACATTTTTTCCCTTTAGTCTTTAAAATACCAATATTTGCCCATAAATTCTTATTTTATGTCTGTTTGATGTCATCATTTAAAAATATTAGATCAGATGATACTCAGTACTCAAGTAGCCTTCTAATCAGATACTTTTTTACCCTTACTTGAGCAATCCGTATTTCAGGAAAATATTGTCCTTGGTTTGTGTCCTTCCAGTGAGCTTTGCAGATTTGGGAAAATGTCATCAGGCAGTAACCACTGTTAAATTCACAGTTATTCTCGGGGAGAGACCAACTCTTATCTGCCCCTGGGAGCCCCGTAATGCATAGCGTCATTTCAACATGGGGGTGTCCGTGACACGGTTTATATGCAGGTAGCGGCGCTGCGGCTGCTTTATATAGCGACTCGTTGCATTCTCCCTCAACCCAAATCCTCGGATCACGCATTTTAGCTAAAACGCTAACGTTAACTTGCCTTGCGTTGACTGCAGAGATGTGGGTGATGGTCACGCACATGTGTCATGAGATATGAAGCGTTGCTGCCTTTCACAGACACTTTTTCTGCTCGTGCTGCAAACAGGATAGCCGTCCGTCCGTCTTCTATAAACTCCCTCGGCATTCTTCAAATATCTAAAATATGCCCGTACTTCCGACTTTGTCTTCTTTGAGGGATAATAAATGCCCTCCTGAGCGCTGCCGTCTCCTCCTTTGACCATTATTTCAGCTTTAGCTTCAAGAAAGTTTTGTTGTAAACAAAGCGTGCATGAGCCGCCGGCAACTTCAGCCGATGATACGGTGGCTGGTAAGGGTCACCACGCCTACACCGCAGCCACGGTAAACCCACCAAGATAATATAGTTTTTTAAAAAACAAGACGGTTATTATTATTGTCAACTTTTTTTTTTTTACCGGGGTTTACCACTACACTAGTTACCGTGACAACCCTACCTGATCGGTTTGCTTTGATCTATTTTGAAAATTCCGATCAAAACCGATAGGGGCGCTATCGGCCGATTACGATCAAATGCCGATCCATCGGTGCATCCCTAGTCTTTCAGCACACTGCCAGGGATGTTGTCTGGACCCGCTGCTTTCCGGGCGTTGATGGTAATGAGTGTCCTCTTCACGCTGGCAACAGACAGGCACAGAGGCTGGTCGTGTGGAGGTGGTGGTGTTTTCTGTGGGCGTGTGTTGTTCTGTGTTTCAAATCATGCAAAGAAGCTGTTCAGGTTGTTGAGCAGAGTGGTGTCGCTCTCACAGCTACGCGCTGCAGGTTTGTAGTCTCTAATAGCCTGGATGCCTTGTCATAGGCTTCGTGCCTCCTTGCTGTCATTGAAGTGGGAGGTTATCTTGTGTGTGTAGTCCTGTTTCGCTTTCCTGATGCCGTGGGACAGGTTTGCTCTTGCTGTTCTCAGGCCCATTTCATCCCCAGCTCTGAAGGCCTTGCCTCTGGCCTTTAGCAGCCTGAGGACATCTCCTGTTTGCCATGGCTTCCGGTTGGCTCGAGTTGTGATACTTTTCACTTGTGTTAAATCATCAATGCATTTGGTGATGTATGAGCTCACCGTATCTGTGCACTCCTCGATGTCTATGATGTTATTGTAGGTAGCTGCTTCCTTGAATATGTCCCAATCAGTTGACCCAAAGCAGTCTTGAAGAGCAGAGGTGGCCTTCTGTGGCCACACTCTTACCTCTTTCATAACCGGTTTGACAACCTTCCCTCTCTGTCTTTATGCTGGCATTAGCATAACAGTGAGGTGATCAGAGGTGCCGATATGGGGGAGGGGAATGGCTTTGTATGCTCCATTTTCCTGTGTGTAGACCAGGTCCAATATGTTATCTCCCCTTGTTGGAAAATGTACATGCTGATGAAACTTTGGGAGAACAGTTTTAAGATCAGCATGGTTAAAGTCTCCTGCGAGGATGATGTAACCGTCTGGGTGTGCTGTTTGTTGCTCACTGATGGCCTGATACAATCCGTTCAGCGCCACATTTCTATCGCTGTTGTTGCTAGATGGAGGTATACAAGTAGCGACCAACAAGATCGAACTTACCTCCCAGGGCAAGTAGAAGGGGCGACACTTCACGATCATGAACTCCGCCAGTGACGAGCAGTGTTTGCGTACTACAGTGGCATCACGACACCACTCGTCACAGATGTAAACACAAACCCCACCACCTCGGATCTTGCCTCCGTCTACAAGAGCCCTGTCGGCTCTGTAGCATGCTAGCTGCTCCAGTTGTATAGCAGAGTCCGGAATGTTGTCATTAAGCCATGTCTCAGTGAAAACTAGCACACAACAGTCACTTACTCTGCGATTCGCTGATCTCAGAAGCCGTATGTTGTCCATTTTATTGTCCAGAGATCATACGTTGGCCAAGAGGATCGATGGTATGGCTGGGTGAGTTGGCTTAGCCTCAAGCCTGACTCGGACACCTCCGCGCTTGCCCCGCTTCCTTGTCCTAGCGCACCGTTTTCGACGTCTCCTTGCCCAGGGAGGGGTAGCAGGCGAGTCCTGTGAGTTGCTAGGCCAGCTAGCAGGCTGTCGCAGAAGTCCTATTTCCCTTAACATCTCAACGTTAGTGTTCAAAACTTGGCAAATCTTGCCTCTCCGAATGTGTAAGAGAGCCTGACGACTGTACACATATTCCGACGTGGACTGGCAAGAAATACTTGCAGAAAGACACTTACTCGACGAACATAATGAAAAATAATTACACCCAACGGTTATGAACTTATTGATTTTGAGCATCTGCCCAATCTAGAGGAAATCACTGGGGCTATCACATTTGACTGTTGCAATTAGGGCTGCACGATATTAGGAAAACCTGCGATATTCGACAACAGTGCTTAATACTGCGATATCGATATTACTCGCGATAAATGAACAAATACTAAAGTATGCAGTGTTGATGTCGTCTGGCGTGTGACGTCTGCTCTGGGTTCAAAGCAAACAAAAACTAATGCATGAATTCCATTACAACATAACATTTTTATTGCAAAAATATGCAGCTGCACCTGCTACTGTATTAGCAGCAAAACAACAAACTGCATGCATGCAGTTTCTCAGTGACTTTAAAACATCACCTCCACCATAAAACTTTTTCTGATGCTCCAAACACAGAAAAACATCCCTTACCAGGGTTTTTTGAATAAATAAAAAAAATCAGAAAATAAGTTTAAATGTTAAATAATAGTTAACATCACTTAAATGCAACAGCAAATTCTCTCATTGCTACTGAGCATTTTCATTTCATTTCCACTTATGTGGTTCTGATATAAGGCTGTTGCTGTAATTGGGAAGTGAACTGTGCTGGGCCAAACTAGGAGAATATTAAGATTTTCTGAGGGAAAGAGAAAAAACAATTGTCTACCTTTCAGAAGAGGAACTGGCAAAAAACTACATGGAAAATATGTGAAAACGTTTGTTTTTAACCCCAAATTGAACAAGTTTACCTAGATCTTAAAAAGCAGCTCAGATGATGAAACTGCAACTATGATTCTGATAACAAGCTAACAAACTGAACTAGCTTCTCTAAGATAATCGGCTAGCAGAGCTTCTGACTGACAGTTTATGTGGAGCAGCAAATCAACTATCCTGATTAACAAGGTTATAAAAGCTCATAAATGAAAAATCACTTTGATGTGTGGGGGAACTTTTCCAGGCCCTCTTTAGCAGCTCAGGGTGGGACTGGGAGGAGAGTGCTGTAGCCTTTTAGCTGGAAGCTAACCGGAGCATGGGGCTAACATCACCACCCGGTGGAACACTAGCGACATGAAGGTGGGTTGGTTCACCGGCACGTGTCGGAGTCAGCCCGGTAAAAATTATTAACGACACAGAGCGGACTCACGTTCACGTTTGAAAGCAGCGCTGATTCCAGAAACCTCAGCACCAAAGTGCGTTCGTTGCTCTGTGCCAGCATGATGAACAAGGGAATGGCGCCGCTAACTCAGTTTGGGTGTTGCTTTCCATCCTAAGGGTCTACATAGGGGGCGGGCGTATTCAGGGTATCTGCAGGTTTAAGGGAGCCAAATTTAAGACTTTTGAAGACCTTTTTTAAGGCCACTTTGACCAAATTTAAGCTATTTTTAAAATTAAATAAATTTAAGCTATAATTTCCAGCTATTGCCTGGAACCGGTGCTAACCACATCACGAACGTGGGATTAGCCATCCAGTTACCATTAAAATTCCCCATGGCGCAAGCTCCCACTAGCTTAACCAGCTAATGTGCTCATCTAAAAATAGCCCCCTTTCACAACCAACTGAATGTGTACGGTTCCGCTTACGCCAACATCACACACAAAAAATCCTGAACACTAACTAGAAATTCCCAAAGTTTTTATTGAAATAAAAGAATCTTGTTTAGTGGACCTTTGGTAATTTAAGACCTTTGGAAACTGTATTTAAGGATTATTTGTCATTTTTAAGGATTTTTAAGGCCTTAAATTTTGAAAAGCAAATTTAAGACTTTTTAAGACTTTTTAAGGACCCGCAGATACCCTGGTATTACGTGAACGGACCCATCTGATTGGCCGCATATCAGAAGGGCTACATTTGATTGGTCAAATAATACTTGCGCGTAAAAAACAGAGCTGGTTTACAAAAAAATGATGTATGACACGGATGGAAATGTTGAACCAAACATTTTTCGCCGTTTTTGACGTGCTTTGCGATGTGCCTATCGCACGTCCTGTTATCCCAATGACGATAATTTTTCGATATATTGTGCATCCCTAGTTGCAATAAATGTTTTTTCCTGATGTGTACAAACATTAATCTATATGAGTCTAATTGATGAGCAGAGTTGTGATTTTATACCTCCTGTGTGCGGCTGCTTTCCCCCGACTCTGTCAGCAGTTTGATGGGAGTTGAGCGCTGGGACACGGACCCCTCATCATCCCGGTCCTCCTCTGAGTCGTCCTCAGAAGTGCTGGTGATGGCCTCCTCACTGGGAGGAGGAGGAGCGCTGGCTGCAGTCTTCCTCTGGAGGATCGTCTCCTCCTTGCTGCTCTTGCTGTTACAGACGTACAAACACACACAAAAAAAGTATCTAATGAATGTTCGCATTCTTTATTTGGGTACAAAAACATCCAGTAAACGTTAACAAGCACCAGGACCTAATGAGTCAGAGGACTTCTGAGATGCTAGCACTGTCCTCGAGCTCATTTGAGATCAGTCCAAAGGTCTTCACAACAAACATGAAAACCTACATAAAGTCTCTAGTTCATTGGATTGAGGAGCTAGCATTTCACCACGAGCAGCAAGAAAATAGGCTTTTAAACACAAGACCTGAATCCTTTCATGCTGTTTCAAACTGTCAAAAATAAACATGCTGCCCTCAACAGTGAATCAGAACAAAACATTAGTCAGGTCATGCATAAGTACTGCTGAGCTGCAGTAATGCGGATAATTAATTTCCACCAACACAAGAGGCTTTTACACCAATAGGCTGTGTATTTTATTTCCTGGTAATGTTTAGATGCATGACTGTTTATACCAAATATACATGCATTTACAAACGACTCAGTGTGTTCTCGAGCATGAAATAAGGACAGAGCATTATTTCTGGTTACTTGAGAGCACAAAGACTAATGAAGGTGTGTGGATAAAGGGCATGGTGACATAGTTTTCTCACACACACACACACACACACAATAACATCCAAAGTCCTGACGTAAACATTGTTGAAAAAGCACTGACCCCAGAACTGATTTCCCTGTTTCCTCTGGTTTGCGAACTGTGAAGGGACTTGGATCCACTCCCACGGACTTGGGCATGAATTCCCTTCAAAAGCACAAAGAAAGCTTGTTAGTTGGCATCCTGCTGTATAACAACAATGCAAAGGCAACGAACACTTTGTGCACCGCTGAGCAGAGTTTGAAATTCTACATAAATGTTGAAGAAATCTGCATCATAACAGTGTGTGTGTGTGTGTGTGTGTGTGTGTGTGTGTATACCTTGCAGAGTTGGTCATGGCAATGCAGAAAGTGTCATCAAAGCAGGTGAGCTCATAAGGTTTGAAGAATTCTGTGTAAATGTCGATACTTTCATCAAAGCGGCTCAATCTCTTCACTTTCACTTTCTTCATCGTGTCGTCACAGGCAACTGAATAAAAGAGACAACATGAAAACAACGCTTGAGATCACTTTTTAAATTTAAATACAGGATATGACCATAAGATTATAAGATCGTGCTACAATTCACACACACACACACACACACACACACACACACACACACACGCACGCACGCACGCACGCACGCACGCACACACACACACACACACACACCTATATTCAGGATGACCAAAGCCATCTTTGTTCCACATAATGCCACCTCAGCATTTTAAATGGTGAGGAACAGGACTCAAATAACGGTAGAAGGAAAAGAAAAACTCCAGAGTGAGGGCGAGATCCTGCCTCAAGAGCAATGTTTTTAAGTCGCTCCTTAAGACTCGCGATTATTCACTGGCTTTTAACACTGACTGATTATTCTTATCCACTCCTGTCTTTAAGCAGTGTTACGTTTGATTTCTTTTACAATGTTTTGTATGTTTTAACATATTATCCACGTTTTACTGTTTTTAATGATGTTGGTATGTTTTTATTTATGTGTGAAGCACTTTGGTTGAAAGTGTTGTGTATAAAGTGCAAGACAAATAAAGGTGGATTGGATTGGAATGGAAGTTTAAATATTTTAGGGTTGGTTCATGAGAATGAGTTTGGGGCAACGCTGGAGGGATGATATTTCTAGTCTTGGGGCCCCACTAGAGGTCTAGCTGAGTTTGTAACCAACTTCTAAAGTTGTGTGTGTGTCAATTCTCCTGTTATAAAACCATTTCAATTGAAACATTCTAGTGATTACCCCAAAATGTTCTGTTATCTGGTTGTTATTGAGCCAGATGTTTCCTTTCGGAGTAAAGGTTCAGCAGGACTCCAGGTCACAGTGACCATGACAAAAGTACCACAAAAGCTAATTTGTCTGCCAAGATGTTTTTCCCCGTCTGGCATGTGTCAGCAATTTGCATGTCCTCCACTTCATGAGTAAGTGGGTGTCAACTCTCCAGCCCCAAAAAGCCCACACTTCAGGAGGATTCTTGCTAACTGTCCAAAGAGCTTCAGATCTGTTAAGCTGTGTGTGAATAACATAATAAAGACCCCCGAGTATGTTGATTTCTGATCTCCATTATTTATTTTCGAGTACTTGAGGTAACGAAGAGTGCTGTCATCACCAGAGGAGATGGTGTAAGCGGACTTGGATGAGCAGAAGATGAGTTTAAGTGCGAGCTACCTTGGTATCCTGCAGGTCTCATTTGACTGTAATTGCTGCTGTAGGAGAAATTTGGCATTCAAAAATACAGTTTGAGTCTCCGTGTGATTCTTACATCTCACAGAATACAACCAACTAGAATGAGTCAATAGTTGAGGCTAGGAAAAAGATTATGAGTGATGCCCAAGCTCATAAATGTGGACTGGGATTAATTTGATCAGCAGCAAATATCCGCCTGTCCACTTTCTGCTGTTTATTTGAGAATAGATAATAGATAACAGATCCAGCTGCTCCTGGGATACCTCATTGTCCTTCATCCCTGTGGGACATGCCTTGAAAAGCTTCACAGAGAGGCAAACTAACTAGAGAGGTTGCTGCTATAATCCAAGTTCCTCCTGTGGTTGCTAAGATCTTCTAAGGTCCTCTAAGGTTGAGCCTGGGTATCCTATGGTGGAAACTCGTTTTAGATTATGTCATGTTTTTGCTGTCAAATCAATGGTTACCCATACTTTTACTTTGAAATTTAAAGACTAAGTTCACTGTTAAACTGGTTTTTACTTGTTATTTTTAAAATATGATCGGTCACTCTGAGCTTATCATGCAGGCTAAACTAAAAATAGTCTTCTACCCCTATTTCCTGCATTAGCTGTTGATAGAAAATTGACGGGGAAACATTCGGATTTGAAAAGCCATGGAATTTAATGTCATATTGAAAATTAGCACTCATAGACTCACCCATCTAGGATCTCGACGAGGAAAGCGGTTGGTGTTTTAGTGTTCAGGAAACAGCAGGTCACGTCTCGGCTAGTAGAAGCTAAACGTTAGCATTAGCAACTCCACAACATGGCAGAACTTATTCAGGCTTGTGTTATTTGTGGAGATAAAACATCAAATTTGCACAGCAAACTCAGCGGTAGAGTCGTGTAGCTGTTAGCCAATCAGAGGCGAAGTGTCCAAATATCATGGAATAAGACTTCAAAACCTGCTGTCTTCTGCTCCTCTGTTCCGCTAAGTTCTAGTTCCTGAAACAGGAGCGCCAGAGCTTTTTCCACAGGGGTCAACTCACAAGGCATTGATTTATACTAGAGAACACTGCAAATGTACTGAAAAATCAAGTGAGCTTGGTCTTTAAGAACAAAACAAGTAAATATCTGTTGATACCTTCATCATAGGGAACAGGAAGGTAGGACAAGATCCCCTCCGACCACCACAGCGTGTAGCTGACAACATATAAAACAAGATACAATGTGTTAGGAGAAAATTTATACTTACTGATGTGCTTTCTGCTGTCAGTACAGTCTCATCTAGGGCTTTGCTTAACCTAGATTTGAAAATTGGCCTTTCTTGGCCACCTACTGCACCACACCTGAAAACATCCCACTGCTATTCAACGCTGTGCATGAATGAATGCATTTATGATGATTTTCTTTAGTGTGTAGGGTGTGCTACTTATGCCAGTGTGAGAGAAATAGATCAATACTTGGTTTCTAAATGGATTTCAGCGCCAGCCACGTTAATTTCTTGGAATAAAAAGCAAGGTTCCTGGACCCATTGTGCTGACATAAACTAGCGGTTGGTGAAAGAAAATTAGGTCTACTTTTGTGTAAGCGTGAAATCAAATGGAAAGCAAGGAAGATGAATTACACTCTTGTGCACTTACACACATCTGAGAAGCATTTCTGGGTCAAAAGCTGAAACAAAATGCAACCTTGTCTCGTAAAGAAACGGTGTGAACTATTGATGAATTGAAAGAATTTGCATTTAATTAAACCTTGTACAAAGACCTTTTTTTTGACACAGAAAAAAATTCCTAAAAATAAAATTTCCAGATTTCCAGATTGTGTACTTTTACATTGAGTCTGAAGTACTGTCTTTTTTTCCCTGACACCATCAGATTGCAGCATCCATCCATTCTCATCCGCTTATATGGGGTTGGTTCACGGGGGCAGCAGCCTAAGAAGAGAGGCCCAGCCTTCCCTCTCACTTGCCACTTCAGCCGCTTGTATCTCATTCTTTTGGTAACTACCCAAAGCTCATGACCATAGGTGAGGGTAGAAACGTAGATCGACCGGTAAATTGAGAGCTTCGCCTTCTGGCTCAGCTCTCTCTTCACCACGACAGATCGGTACAACGCCAGCATCACTGCGTGTGCAGCACCAATCCGCCTATCGATCTCAAGCTCCATCTTTCCCTCACGCATCTTGTCAAATTGCAGCAGTGGAGTGGAATTTCCTTTAATCCCTTCACAATAAAAGCTCTTGTGAAAAGCACCACGTGTTTATTAAACTATTTTCGTAACAGTATTATTAGCTATGTGGTCATTTACTTCACTGCAATGATTTCAATATGTGACAAAGGGAAGCAAAAGGATGAATGATATAACCCCAACAAACCATTATCATCAATAGTATTAATAATAAGAGCTCATGAATCCACTTTAGCCAAGACAGCACTTGGATAATTCATTAGCCCACCGAACACTAATCCCTTTCTCCAAACTGAGACCATTGAATGGACTATCTATTAGTATCACAATCTACCACTTCGAAAGATTTTAACTTTTCAAGTCAGTCCATCTGGATAAACTATTTCATAATCTTTAATATTCCCAGAGGAAAATTAAATGTTTTAACTAATATTCTTCCAAGCAATAATCACAGAATATTAGTAACCAGGGTGGGTGTGTGTGTGTGTGTGTGTGTGTGTGTGTGTGTGTGTGTGTGTGTGTGTGTGTGTGTGTGTGTGTGTGTGTTGTATGCACCTTGGGGGGGGGGGGGGGGGGGGGGGTTCTAGGATTCCAAAAGGTGACACATAAAATACAGATGTAGTGGAATACATTTGTTAATTATGAGCCAATAAGATGTGATGATTCCATATATGATCTTATTGGTCATAATTAACAAATGTATTCCACTACACAGATCATTTACATTTCAATGACACAAGTGGGTGAGATTATATCATAATCAGGATGAAACACTAAAAAAAAAAAGAGCCAGAAGTCTCATTCGATACAGGATTCAAATCTTGTCACTGAATTGTAAAATTGTTTTATGGTAAATGGTAAATGGCTTGTATTTGATATAGCGCCTTCTAGAGTTCTTGAAACCCCCCAAGGTGCTTTACAACACAACCAGTCATTCACCCATTCACACACATTCACACACTGGTGGGGATGAGCTACGATGTAGCCACAGCTGCCCTGGGGTGCACTGACAGAGGCGAGGCTGCCGAGCACAGGCGCCACCTGTCCCTCCGACCATCACCAGCAGGAAACGTGGGTTAAGTGTCTTGCCCAAGGACACAACGACAGCGACAGACTGAGCGGGGCTCGAACCTGCAACCTTCCGATTACGGGGCGAGCACTTAACTCCTGCGCCACCGTCGCCCCAATTTTTATAAATTCTGCATAATGACATCATCCAATTCTCATTCATTTGGCCTCAACAAAAGTATTTTTATTGTACATCTTACTCATCTGAAAAGTTGCTGTTCTTCAGCCCTATTCATTCATTCATTCATTCACTCATTCATTCATGTGTCCGGCAGCCTCCTGGGTGATCTGGGGGAAAGCCACATCCAGGATGAGAATCTTGTAGGAGTTCAGACATCCAGTCACATTGTTGGACTCTGCCGTCTGTCTGACTGAATTCGGTCAAAGCTTTATCTTGAAAGATCAATAACCAAATGCCAAAACTGCCATAAAAAGTTCCACCAATGTAACTATCATAGTGCGGCATTTGGAACTTTTGTTGGTAGAAAAGAATGCACTCACTTAGCCTTCAGCAAAAAGTTTTTATTCCCATCACTCTTTGTCTGCATTCTTTAAAAAAAACTATATTTAAAATAATTAGTTTTGCAAACCTATCAGATGCTTTCTGCAGAAGATCCTTTCGATATTTTTTATTTCTTTTTTTTTTTGTCCAATGACCTTGCAAAGTTTGGAAAAAAAAACAAACAAATGCAACAATTTCTTTGAAAATCCTGAAGATTTCTCCTTGTGTTGCCTTGTTGTGTCCATCCGATCTGTTTTTTTAAGCTGCAGACCGTTCAGTGGCTTTACAACTGCGGTGATCAACACCATAAACTCAGGCTGTAGTGGCAGCGGGTCATGAAGCTCACACTTTGGAGGCCAAAACTCTGTGAACCTTAATTTCACCCAAATGGACGAATGAGAAAAGTAATAAAAATCCACCTAGGCAACCATCTGCACTGCCTCAGCATTCATGTCAGGTGTAAACAAAAATGATTTCATACAAAAAAAATTCTGATTGAGGTGTTTGCAAATAGGTTTAAATACAATTCAGTTATAGAAGGTTGAGAGCAGTTTTATAAGTAGTTATCCATAAGAAAGAGTGTGTTTGTACCTGCGTCTCCTGTTGGGGAGGGCCATGGTGCTCCTCTGGTGCAGGTAAAAGTCAGTAGGCAGCTCCCACAGGTGAGGTCGACATTCCAATGGCTGGTAAACCTGCAGGAACAAATTTATGGCATCCTGTCTGTCAGCGTCTGGAAAAAATAAAAATAAAATGAACATACTAGTAAATGTTAAACTCATTATGTATAATTAAGATCATCAAACACTATTTTTTAAACTTGCTTGGATTCTAACAATTAATTTTCCTTATTTTTCCTCATTGTTCTAATTAACACCAAGACATTATAGATTTTCATCATTTTTTTCTACTTCAGCTATGAAAAAAGTCCAGAAAAATGCTGAAAAGATAGACATGAAAAATAAGGTTGTTGTTCACAGATCTCACATCAGGAGCAGCAGCTACCAAGTTTTTTCTTTAATAATCTTAAATCCACCTCCAGCTGATCATTTTAAACCAATATGCATGTCTAAAATAGGTCAAAATGTTTTTTTAGCATAAAACTTTAGAAATTGACTGTTATGTAGATTCTACTAAGAAATCCCAGTTGTATGAAAGACATTATGCATTATTTCATACAATCAGAAAAATAGATTTGTGGAAAAAATATATAGTTTTCACCTGTTTTATTATCTTCTCAGTCCTAGAAACAGCTTGTTTGATTATAGAAGAGCTCTGCAGTATCTAGAAGACGGTGTGTGAAAATCCCCAAAAAACCTTTACAAAGGTTTAATAAATATGGATATCAAAGTACAATAAATTATGTTTAATTTTTGCCTTTTCTGCATGATCAACATAAGTCTAGTTTAAATAATTGCATTGAATAAACATCAACTCATTTATTTTAAGAGTTCAATTAAATATCAAAATGAGCCAAAAGTCTAGGTTACTTGAAATAAAACTATTGAATGCTTTTAGACTTGGTGAAGATGGCTTGCAAAAGTTCTAACTGAACATCAAAATAGAGAAGAAAGTATATTTTAGTGACTTTATGGTTGTTGTTTTTTTTAACATTATATTTATTGAAGTTTATAATACAGAACACTCAAGAATAATAGTACAGTTAACATGGGATTTATATTAAAGAACATAGTCCTCAAAATAAACAACTATATATATATATAAAAACAACAGTAATAATAAACAACAAAAGAAAGAAAAGGAAAAAAAATATATATATATATATATATATATATATATATATATATATATATATATATATATATATATATATATATATATATATATATATATATAAAATCAGCACCAAGTATCACTTTCCAGATTAATTCACTTCATAATGTCTCAGAAACTCGATTAGAGGTAACCATATTTCTTCAAAATATGCCCCCTTTCCTCTGACAATATAATTTTTGGTGAATTTCACCCACAACTGGGCTTAAGGATGGTAGAAAAAGAAGAAAACATCCAACAGCGTGAACAAAAAGCCTTGCTGCTGAACATGCCCCACAGTGGACCCATCTGTCTTCTGATGGCTACTTCCAGCAGGATAATACATCACAAAGCTCAAATCATCTCAAACTGGTTCCTTTATCGTAAGAGAGTTAAAGACCTGTAGGATGTGGTGGAACAGGAAATTCACGGTAAAGATAATAAATCTGCAGCAACTGCTTGATGCTTCCAAGCCAATATGGACCAAATGTCAAAAAATGACCAAGTTATAACCATTTTTAGCACTGCGTGAGTAAAACTAGTTGTCTAAAACCAACCGAGCTAAATATTTACATGATAATTAAAAGTACACTAAATGAACCGTAATTAAAGCAACAGAGAAACAGACCTGTGAAAACTCTCCGTACCACCTGACTGAGATCAGTTTGGCTGGGAGACAATCCCTTTGAGTGTGTGTGTGCTCTGCATGGCACGTGTTTTGCACGATGCCAAGTGTGGTGTCATTTAATTCACTGTCCAATCGTGCTGCCACGTGTCTGCTGCTGTGGCGGTGACGCTGGGTAATTAGAAGCTAATTTCAGGTCCATTAAAGCATGCCACAAAGCTTTTCTCTCTGGATAATTCTCAGCCTGATATTCATTAAGTAAATTTGTGAAGAGTTGGGGACGACCCGTAAACATCACATGCATCCATGGCAGAGGTCAAAAATCCATGAAGATGACATTCATGTATTTTCTAATCAGAGTAAGAAGTCTAAGAAATGTATTTGAGCCTTGAACATGAAGGTTTGCAACAGTTATGCCAGCGTGATGTTTGTGCTCCTGAAATAAAACGATGAGTCAATAACCGGCCGTCAGCGTTCTTGGAAATGACATAAAAGCAGGTGCAGTTAAAAGCTATATGGAAAATGTTTCTTTTCAAGAAATGCATTTAGACAAGTTATTCAAATAATAACAGGCTTCGTAATCATAACTGAGCCGATTGTTTGCTGCCAGTTTCTAACAAAACACTGACTAACAATAACAAGTAGTCATCATAATCACACGCTATTTAGACCCCATAAAATCACTGGCCTCGGTGGACTTGTATAATGCGTGACCATTTATCACACGTCGTAAAAGCCCCGAACCTCAAAACAGCACAAAAGTTCAGATCATCCCTACTTTTTTTAGACCTCGCTGCCAACCCGTAAAATAGTTGTGTAATATTTTAAAATTATATTCGCCAATATTTTGTCGAGCTCATTCAAAGTTTTGCCTCTAGACTGTTTTTGAGCTTATTTGGATCAGTGTCAGGCATTACAAAACTAGCTACTGCAAATGAATAGTATCTAAATTTAACACGATGAGTACATCTGTATGACCAGTGACTCTCATCATATTTACCGAATTAGAAACTGAATACACTACTTAAATAATTGCCTCTGAATGTGTTATTTTTTACTTCTTTAGAATTTCTAGGACACATGTTGTCACTGAGCAAAATAAATAAAGTACTTTCAGTGCCTAAATCTTAGTTTCTTTGAGAGCAACGGAAGTAATTTTGGATTAGAAACATAGAAGTGAATTAAATATGTAATATTTTGCCAAACACCTTGCAGTGTCACTATTAATTCAAGTGTGATCTGCCTTTTATAAGTACTAAATATATAATCAGACTCCATGCAGAAGCTTAGCTGCAACAACAAAACTGAGGAGATGTGATTGGACAAAAAGCCTCAAACAACTTGAGACAGTTCTCCACACCTTCATCTCCTCACGCTTAGACTACTGTAACTCTCTTTTCACGTGTCTGAGCAGAACCTCCCTGAACCGTCTGCAGGTGGTTCAGAACGCCTGTGCTCAGCTTCTGACCAAGTCCTCCAAACAAACCCACATCACCCCGCTTCTCCTCCAGCTTCACTGGCTGCCAGTCAACTTCAGGGTTCATTTCTGTCTCTGCACAAATATCAAACGGTGTCTCTGACATATCAAAATGGATGAAATCCCACCATCTCCAACTCAACCTCTCTAAAACTGAACTACTTGTCATCCCAGCAAAACCATCCATACAGCACAATATCTAAATCCAAAATGACTTCCTATCTCTGGCTCCTTCAAAGGCAGTTCGAAATCTGGGTGTTGTGATTGATGAACACCTGACCTTTAAAGATCATGTTGCCTCTGTTGCTCGTTCATGATGCTTTGCGCTGTACAACATACGAAAGATCAGACCATACCTAACACAACATGCCACCCAGCTCCTGGTGCAATCTACTGTCATCTCCCGCCTCGATTACTGCAATGCCCTTCTAACTGGTCTTCCAGGCTGTACTGTGAGACCTCTTCAAATGGTCCAGAACGCAGCGGCGCGTCTGGTCTTCAATCAGCCTAAAAGAGCACACGTCACCCCTCTGTTCATTGAGCTCCACTGGCTACTGCTAGCAGCACGCATCAAATTCAAATTGCTAACACTTGCATACAAAGTCCGAAATGGGACGGCTCCCATCTACCTGAATCCTCTTACAAAGGCTTACGTCTCGGCACGGCCGCTCCGGTCATCACAGGATCGTCGGCTAGCAGTGCCTACACCACGCTCAGGACAATCCAGACTCTTCTCATGCATCGTTCCACAAATGTGGAATGACCTACCAAGCACTACCAGAACAGCGGCTTCCTTTTCAATTTTGAAGAAACTCCCGAAGACCCTGCTCTTCAGAGAGCATCTTCTTAACTAACACCTTCCCTGCACCCGTCCCCCCCTCTACCGTCCACTCCTTGTTCCCTCCTCTCCATGACTGATGTCAATGTTGTTGTTATTGTTGTTGTTAGCCTCAAGGGCAACATGCCGATTATCACTTGTAAGTCGCTTTGGACAAAAGCGTCTGCTAAATACATAAACATAAACATTTCAAGATCCTGGTTCTGGTCTATAGGGCCTTACATGGACAAGCACCATCTTACATTGGTGATCTTCTTGGTGCCTACACCTCCAGCAGGTCCCTGAGGTCCACTGATCAAAGCCTACTGGTTGTGCAGCACCAGGCTAAAGGTCAAAGGTGACAGATCATCTGCTGCTGTGGCCCCCAGACTCTGGAACTCTCTCCCCCTGAGCCTAAGATCAGTGGACTCAGAGGACTCCTTTAAAAAGCAGCTGAAGACTCACTTGTTCAAGCTGGCTTTTGTATGACCTTCTTCATCACTCTCTCTTTATTCTGCTCTCCCCACCTATTCCACCTTCCTCAGGATCCACTGATCTTCTTCTTCTCAAAAGTTCCTAAACTACAATCATGAGTAGATGAGCACAGAATGTGTTCACTTGTTTGCAGACATGTTGACAGCAGAAATCAGTCTGGAGACACAGAACAGAAGCAAACTTGGTCAGCCACTTCCCATCAGCGTGGATGATTTAGGTCAGGAGAGTGAAGATCAGAGAGGATGGAGCTCTCTGCTGTGTAGGAGTGCCTCCTGATAGTTTCACAGTGGTGAAACAAATCAATCCAACTGCAATGACCCTTTTTTTCTTTAATAGTGAGGGAAAATCAAAAAAATCTAACACTCGAAGTGGCCCTGGAGTTATGTGGGTCAAGTAGTTTAGCACCATTTTCTCTGTTACATAACTTTTCTCCTGATTTCTCTTAACCCAGTAGTGAATATTAAAAAAAGCTTTGTAAACTTGTTATATCATAGATATGCAGCTGTCTAATGAGAGACCGGGGGGGTCGTTTATGAAAAACTAAGTTAATATATGAGAACTCTGACGTCATCGGTGTCAGTGACTGATTAGCAATTACATCCTGGTTGAAAATACGTTCGTATTCCTCTAGGTAACAATATAGAGCACTAAATGATCTAAAACATGCTTCCCAAGCAGTGAACAAGAAAAGCAAGACCTAGGCTTAAAAATCAACTCTCAATTTGTGAAATTTTAATTTCCTTTTAATGCTATAATTAAAAAAAGGAAAACACATTTGATGCAACTTTTTATGGCAGGGGGGTCTGTCTGGGTGAAGTGCAGTCGGTTTTTGTTGCAGCTACTCCAGTTTGTCCCACAGTGAGATTATTGATTCCTTATATATAATAGAACTGATAAGAGTGTTTTTGGCCTTTCACCTCACAGCAACTGAAAATGTCTCTAATCCCGCTGAACAATGGAAAACAAATGAATGTGCAAATCGGGGGAACGTGGAGTACTGGGATGAAATTTTGGTCAGCTCTGAAGTTTCTATGGTTACCATCCTTCTCGGTGTATCCTTTTGTTGGGGGGGGGAGTCTTTCCACTTCAAAATATCAAATAAAACATAAAAAAATACCATATCTGCAGCACGTCTAACAGCACGATTCGCCACGGGCAAATTATTTGAGCATTGAGTTTATTTGTCAGGATGTGGCGTGCAGTGGGCGATATGTCGTCTCCACGGCAACCAGAAACATGAAAGCTGACGAATAAATCTGAATAATAAACCCCTGAATAGTTCATGTCTGAATCCATTTTGTATAAATTTGATTGAGAAGACAGGAATGTTGATGTCCATGTGTGTTTCTGTGGAGATCTAACCTGAAAAAGCATTACTGTAGTACCGAGACAACGTCTGCATGATGTCTTTGGAGTGCTGCGTCCATGGTGCGATCTTGCGGTAAGTCTTCACCCTGTGGACCAACTGAGAGCCTCCATACTGCAGAGACAAAGTGTCTCCGTGGTCCTCGTACAGCTCCTCAAACAACCTGAACCGCACGGAGAAAAACATGGTTATAAACTTTGTGTCAAACAGGAAATAATGAATTGTTTTTTGCAATTTGGTGACAAATTTGCCAAGACTTTAACTGACAAATCTTTTAAAGGCACACTCTGCAGTTTTGGCTTGCATTTAGCACCTCCTAGTGTCCATTTAGTAGAACAAAAAACTAAACTTATCTCCTCGCTGTGCTTTTATCTTTTTACCACCTTATTTGAACAGCTGAAATGTCTCCTCAGCCTTCATTAGTGTCTACAGGAGCGGTTCACCACTAAATCAAACAAATCAGCTGTGATCATGATCTAAAACATGCAGGAAACGTGCTGGAACCAAACTGTTGCGCCATGCATGTCAGCTCTATTTTTTTCTAAGTCTAACAGGTGGTGGCCTGCTACTCTGAAGTTGTAAGTGCAATTATCTGGCCACAGAGGGCGGTGGGGGTCTGACTGACTTTTCATTGACCCAGTAAAGGGTCGTTTTAGCAAATACTGGTTAAAGAAAATGATTTAAAATTAGGAAAAGTTGCAAAGTATGCATTTAAATTATATTTATTGAATATCTTACTGTTTAAACCACCAAATAGTTCCCGAGCACAGCCACAGCTGCAGCTCACCGCTCCCGACGGGGATGGGTCAAATGCAGAGATGAATTTCACCATTGTGTGATGGCTTATGGGACTTAAACTTTACTTACATTCTAAATACGAATAAATTAAAGGGACATATTTGACAACAAACATATGGCACCTTCTACTTTTAATAATTAGACAATAACTTTAAAAAATGAAACATACAAAATAAACAAGTGAATACTTGACTAACTACTTGAGCTTTACCTGACACAGTCAGTATCGAACTGTAGTTTGGGCTTGTCGATCATTCCCAGTGCATAAAGCTGATAAGCAAGTGCACATTTCCCCACCATGAACTGGGCTGTATTGGTTCGGTCCAAACAATCCACACAGTTGGTCCTCAACACACCGGTCTGTAACAGCAGGGATTTAATTAACTAGCAGACGCAAACAGACTAAATGTGAACTGGAACCTTTAAATGTTTGTTTTATATCTAAAGTACAAAAAAATAACCCTAAAATAAAGCTAAATAGCATAGCTGCAAATGTTGTTTAAGAGCAAGTCGCCCCCAAATCAAAACTCTTTTTGTTGATAAACTATATAAATGAGTGTCTAATCGTGTTGTAGACACGCATAGTCAATAATTTGGCACTTTAGTGCATCTTAATTAAACTTTAAATATTCTGCCTAAAACCGTCAGTGTTACGTCCTCTTCTGGTACAAAATCTGCACTGCATTTGAATTGAAATCTTCCATCGCTATTGGCTAAGAGGTACATCATTATGTTAGCTGGTACATTATGTTGTCACAGTGTCGTGTGTGTGTGTGTGTGTGTGTGTGTGTGTGTGTGTTTGTGTGTGCGTGCGTGCGTGTGTGCGTGCATGTGTGTATTTGGTAGCGGCTCCACCCTCTTGGGTCTACCAGCTAATAGCATTTGTTGTATTTTTAAAACAGGAAGTTGGAGTGGAGTAAGACTCTGTTAGGGGTTGACTTGCTCTTTAAAATAAACTGTTACTAAAAGTGCTGAAGTATTTTTTTTTTATTAAAATAGACCCCAAAAAATATATAAAACTCAAAAATAAAATAAATGTCAATGAAATAACAGCCAAACACACAAATCCCACTAAACTTTGACAATACTTTGTCCAAATTTCACAGCTACACTAAAACAGATGAACGTTTCTGAACAGATAAACTAAAGAAGTTTTCTTGGCTTAGAATTAATAAAACTTTGAAAACAAAAAGAGAGCAGACATTACATTTGTTTGTTATAGTTAATTTCGTTTTTGGCTATCCTTCCTTTTTCTTCAAAAAAAAAAACCTGCAACACACATTTCCTATTAACCTTGGGTCATTGTCACCTACCTGCAGCCTTCCTCTTGATGTAACTTGTCCACCAACATCTCGCCACCTACAAAAATCACATTAAACTTCACCAGATAAACAAAATGACTAAAGAAAAAAGACATAGGTCACATAACGATTGTGATCCAGGCTATTAGAAAAGCCAAAAACATTCATCAGACAAGAAAAAAAGTTTAAAACCGAGTAGATGAGTAAGGTGCAACTCTAGCAACATTTTTGTGAAAATTTTGACTAATTTCCAAAGTGCAAAAAGAAATTATATTTGTGTAGTGTTATTCCACTTCTATTCACTTGTTAAAAAACAAATAAAAGCTGATTTTAGGAGATGTGTTTAAAAGCAAAGTACATGTACTCCATGAACCTGGTTAAAGTGAGTTAACGTGTGGTGAAGGCTTCAGGTGCCGTGTTATTATATTATTTTTTATTCATACACATAAATGCTTCAGATGGTTGAGTCTGAATGGGAGAAGTGGCGGGGTGCATGAATGTGCATAACTAAGAATGTAATGTAAAAGAAAGGGTTATAAATATTGGCTGTAGGGTTACGTAACAGAACGGTAATAAGGAATGAAACTGATTAAAGAATGCAGACAGTCGAGGAGCCGAACTCAAAGCACACAGACGACAATCGAATCAGCTCATTAGCAGAATTTTCTCCACGATAAAGCTGCCATCATTATTTTCATTAATAATTTACGAGGGCAGCTTCAAACTTGGGATTTGTTCATAAGAGTTATTCTACAGAAAGAATAAGGCACTCACTCAAAAATTAACTTCGTATGAGAAAGATGGTTTTTGGGGGGGGTGATCTAACACATGATTCATTTTCACCTTTCATAGGGCAGAACAAACAAACTTACCTGTCGTCTGGTCTGAGGGTGTGACAGTAGAAGTCTGTGCGATTAATGAAGAAGCCCGTTCGCTTGACCACATTCTCTGCTATCATGCTCAATCGGTCCAAAACGTTGCATAATTTACTAAAAAGCAAAGAGAAATTGGAAAGCTACCAATATATTCTCTAAATAATTGTGTGTGTGTGGTTGTGGATTTACCGTTTGACACACTGAAGAAGAAAGAAGAAAATATCATTTCTCTAGCGCCTCTCAAGATAAAAATCACGAGACGCTTCACAAAAACAAAAAATGTAAATATATAAAAAAGAATTTAGAAAATAGTTTAAAATATATTTTAAATGAAATCAAATATTGACAATTGTAATTAAAAAATTGTAAAGAAAGAGAGAGAGTGAACAGGAAAGAGGGAAATCAGTGGATCATGAGGAAGGTGGAATAGGTGGGGGGAGCAGAATAAAGAGAGAGTGGTGAAGAAGGTCATACAAAAGCCAGCTTGAACAGGTGAGTCTTCAGCTGCTTTTAAAGGAGACCACTGAGTGAAGGCATTTGAGCTAAGCTAGCCTTTCAACACAGCAACAACCTACCCATGGCCTCTTCTTGAGCCAGCTGATGTCAGTTTCTGACAGTAATTCTGAATATCCTAAACATTTCTATGCACCTCTTTGACACATCATTACAGCTGGAGTATTCAAGGCTCTTTTGATAAAGACACTTAAATAAAAGTGAATTGCCACTTAAAATGTTCTAAAGGAATGATGAGGTGCGTTAAGAGTCTTACTGTTGTGACTGAAAAGAGATCGGTGACGAGGCTTAAATGCATTACTTCATACAATTTTATACAACAAGAGGAGATCTGGTGACAGGTTCTTGTGGGAGACCATGTGAGCCCAGATTGGGAATCACTGCATGAGAGGAAAACATGAGCAGATGGTAGTCAAGAGCACTGAGACAGCTATTGCCACGCAGTTAGTGAGAAATGAGACTTTAAAGAGACAATGTGTAGTTTGCACCATTAATTTCTGGAAATATCCATCAAAGTGTTGTTGAAAATGAATGAAATGACACCCAGTTGTTGAAATATATTGGCCGCTTCATAACATATAATCATAAAAATCAGGCTTAAACTTCATGGGAGCGGGTCTAAGTCTCTGGCAGACGCCATACTAGATGCCATGTTTCTTCTATGGGAGCCCATGAGGACAAAATGCATTTCCTGATTTGTCACAAACGGTTACAAAACTTTCTCCATTCTTAAATGTTGTTTTACACATTTACCACTTCAATTGCTGCCAGTGATGAAAGGAAGTCTGGTGTGCATGTTATTTTCCCCAGGGCTTTTTGACCCTAATGGGCATCTGTTGGTAAAATCTTACTCCAATACAAAAATACTGCTCGCTTGCAACATTTTAGGTATGTACTGCCCCCTATCGCCAGGAAAAATACACACTGTCACTTTAAGGCTTACAAAGAGGTAAGATTTTTCTTTTCAGGATGTAAAACACAAGACATCATCATTATTAACATTATGGTATATCTGATACCTATGGAGTTATCGTATGCAAATGATTTGGTTAAGTCTTTCATCAAACTGCCCATTTTAAAATGCTATAGTGGTCAGTTAATAATTTACTTATAAATCAGCAGGAAATATACACATTTCTTAATATGTTGCCTTAAAATGACTTATTAATGTCTGGAATCTGACGATGAAAAGTGCTACATTGATGAAAGATGTCATTGCCTCATTTGCTCCCACCTCTTGGTATAACGGGCCATGTCCCAGGCGATGTAGTCAATGCGATGTTCTGGAGGGAGAAACTGGTTGAGGTTTATCACAGCGGGGTACAGCTCTTCACTCAGGATCTTCTCATGCTTCCTTTTTTCGCGTTTCTGTGCAACAACAAAGAGATGCATGAATGGCCACTGCTATCATCAGGGAGCCACGCAAAGATTATATTTGGGTGGGTATAATTCACTTTAGGATGCATGAAGATCCTTTGATATTAGGAGCAGATGTAGACGTTTTTATGTTTTCACCAAGATTTATTCAGGTCTTCACCGCAGTAACCTCAAATGAGGACAAAAGCTACAAGGACCAGTTTACAGGCTCTGAGTTAAGTCTGTTTTAGGCTTAGGGCAAAACAAAAACCAAGAAAATAGGCTGCTGAGAAATCGATTTTGGTGAAATTTTAGGAAAATATATCCTCACACTCTACTGCATGTCCGTATTGTACATCAGGAATCTGAAAAGGATTTTTCAGCTCCTATTTATAGATCACCCTGTCACTCTCCTATAATCAGAACTAAAAACTGGGCAGCAATTTATCATGTTTGGGGACACCAATTCAAAAGTACACAGTAGGAATGGGTGATGTCTGTTCAGGTTAGGTTTAAACCCACCTGTTCTGCAAGCAAAAATGAGGACAAGCTTTATGCTAATAACTTTTAAATCCAATTTTTTAACTTTCATGAATTCATCGGCCTTTGATAAAAGTGTCCTATGCTACACCTCCTGCACTCTAACTGCTCAGCCTTTTTCTTACTTCTAATTTTATTTGTGTATTTACATTTGATCTAACTATCTGTGTATATTAAATATGATTTAGAAATCTGTTATTTTATGTTGTCACACTGAGTTTAATGTTTTATGTCCTTGCTGTTCTTGCTCCTGGAAGGCACAATGAATTGCTTGTGTGTATGAAATCCGCTATACAAATAAAGCTGCCTTGCTACATGGAGACAGGTGCAAGGGATCCCAGCATAGCAACTTGTTTCTAGGAGCTTGTCATGAAGTTCAGTTCAATTCAAGTTTATTTATATAGTAAGACCTCGAAATGTAATGTATTACAAACAAGAGGCAAAGCCCAGAACTAAAGAAGAAAAGTGAGCAAGATAAGATTAATGAACAATTTAGGGATGGACAATATATCGGCATCAATATCGGTATCGGCCAATGTTAGCCATTTTTAACATATCGATATCGGTATCGGTCCGATAAAAAAAACGGGCCGATATTATCAACCGATATTTTATTCATCTTGTCTCCATTTGTTTGCCTGTTTCAGAGGGTGAGGGGGGAGATGTGTATTTGTTTAGTCACGTCACAGTGATTGTAATCATCTCAGAAGTGTAAATGTGTGTGGTGTGTGTAAATAATGTAAATTCAGCTTTAATTATTTTTATTCTATACAAAATCTGCTGATTTTAGAAGCATTAATGTCAGTAAATCGATATCAGCAGATATCAGTTATCGGCCATAACAGTGATCTTAATATCGGATATCAGTATCGGCCCAAAAAATTTCATATTGGTGCATCACTAGAACAATTATCTGCCATATTTTGGACAGTTTGCAGGGTGAGATCATCAGGTTAGTAGCACAGCGAGCTCCCTGTCACATTGGGAGAGATTGATGATCATTTTGAGCAATCAACAACACTTCTGCATGACCTTGATGTGAAAAATATCAGTGTGTTACCTACAAAAACATTTGAGAATCCCTAACCTATGCTAGTAACAAACATATACCAAATATCAGCGGTGTGGACTCGAGTCACATGACTTGGACTCGAGTCATTATTTTAATGACTTCTGACTTGACTTGATAAAATCTATAAGACTTACGACTTGACTCAGACGTGAATGCCAATGACTTGCGACTTGAATCAACTTGCACCTGTTGACTTGATGATGACTTGAGCATATTTGATATTTCAGTACAAAAGTGGCACGACATGGACAAAAATCAGAAATCATTCTTGGTTCTGGGTTTGATCTTGTACCGCTAAATGAGGCAGCACTTTGTTTATAATCAGTTTCTGTTGCACTTTCTGCTTGTTTGAGTAAAAAAATTAAGCTTTGAGAAGCTTTATTTCTGGAATGTATTTATTAGCATTGTCATTAAATTGAAGTTGGACAGATGACTTGATTACGACTTGAAAATTCAAAGTTAAGGACGTGAACTTGACTTCAACTTCCACAACGACTTTGGACTTGACTTGGACTTGATTGTCTTTGATTTGGACTTGACTCGAATCTTGACTGGAAAGACTTGTGACTTACTTGTGACTTGCAAAGCAGTGACTTGGTCACACCTCTGCCAAATATACTAATACCAAATACCCATGTAGTGCAAACAGAGCAGTATCATGGCTGACTTCATTCTAAAAGAGGTTTTCTAAGTTTTCTGAGAACTGGACACATTCTACTGTCTTGGACCATGTACTAGGGTCTGAATCAAATCTGAAGGAGATCTAAGCAAAGTGCTAAATGTAAAACCACGCTACCATACGTGGCAAGGTGGAGAATCGAGGGCCCGGGCGGGATTCGATCCCCAGACTCCCGGGTGAGAGTCATGCGTGCTCACCAGTCAGTCAAACGGACATCCCTGTGGCCAAGTATTCAGGGCGCATGATCAGTCAGGATACAGTGACAGGATGCTCACCCTGTCACACGTAGGTCATTCACTCCCCTCTGCAGTAAGAGTGTATGACTCCTCAGTTTTACTGGCACTGGCATTAATCTGTTACACAATAACGTTAATGCAATATTTAGTATGTACTCAATACTTGTGCAATGCCGAATGTACATTAATGTGTCTGTGTCCATTATGTTGCATAGTTCTGGAAACACATGTTTTCTTTTTATGTGTTGTTTTAAGTGGTTAACGGTTCCAATAAAAACTTACTGCCTTTGTGTGTTTACCTGTAATCGTGTTATTGTCTTCTTCCTTTTCTTAAGTGTATGTGCTGCTGTAGCAAGTTAATTTATCAACTGTTGGGTTAATAAAGTTTATTCTATTTCAAATGAAGATGTGTAAATCCATGTTTTGTACCTTTTTAACTACAGGGTGTCTGCAGGTTTAAGGGAGCCAAACTTAAGACTTTTTAAGACCTTTTTTAAGGCCACTTTGACCAAATTTAAGCTATAATTTCAAGCTATTGCCTAGGAACCAGTGCTAACCACGTCAGGAACTTGGGATTAGCCATCCAGTTACCATTAAACTTGCCCTTCCCCATGGCGCAAGCTCCCACTAGCTTAACCAGCTAATGTGCTCATCTAAAAATAGCCCCCTTTCACAACCAACTGACTGTGTACGGTTCCGCTTACGCCAAAATCATACACCAAAAATGCTGAACACTGACTAGAAATTCACGAAAATTTTATGGAAAGAAAATAATCTTGTTTATTGGGTCTTTGGTAATTTAAGACCTGTAGAAACTGGATTTAAGGATTATTTGTCATTTTTAAGGACTTTTAAGGCCTTAAATTAGGAAAAGCTAATTTAAGACTTTTTAAGACTTTTCAAGGACCCGCGGATACCCTGTAACTAAGCCATCATTTTTCTCGAGTTATTCCCAAAGACATGCCTCATAAAGAGTCGAATCACTTTACCTAGACTGTCTTGGTGACTCGTCATTACACCATCCATTAAGTTCTATGTGTATTCCTTCATTGAGCCTTTATGGTCCATCACCCTGGGTGATAATCTGCATGGATGCATCATTAAGCAGCTCACATCTCCATGCGCACGTCCAGTCAGCAGTGACAAAAGCAGCACAGCAACCGGATAAACAGCCAGAGCATTTCCTGACCCAAACTCTGTGGAACTCGTTATACACACACTTTCTTAGCAAAGACAAGAGCTTGCATGCACACATCAACAAACACTCACAACTGCTTAATAAACAGATTCAGCAGAGGATTAAACTGCAGCCACACGTGGACATAAATGCACTGGAGAATGGTTTTTAACTGATAGAAATGATGAGTAAAATTTTCTTTTTTCATTTCTTGTCTTTGCTGGCTTTATTTCATGTATCCACATTTTGCTAAAGTTGTAAACTTACTTTTGTGACAATGGTAAACATTCAAAAGGTTGGTAATCAAATCATTCACATGCTTGGCCATGTGCACTCAGTATTCTTCCTGTTATTTCTCTTCTATTTTTTGCACCCTCAAAAGCTGGCAGCTACCTATAATAAAATCATTCACATGTCAGCTTTGACAAGCTGCCTGCTGACCCCTGTACTCCTCTGGCAGTGATGGACTATCGGGGTTTTAAGGGTTAATTTCGTATTCCTTTTTTTCACCCTTTTTAGAATTAAGTGGACTGTGAAAAGAGGGAGTGGGGTACTCTCCCTTACTCCCCGAGGTCTGTAAATTTCACATGGCTGTAGCTTGTGCGAACCTCTGAGGTCTGCGATTGGTCCCTCGTCTCACAGCTCCCCGTGTGAGTGACAACGTGAGCTCGAAATCCAAGCTGCAAATTATATGGCCGTGTGCCCAATAGAAGCTGTACAGCGTGATGCACACCAGGGTGAAAAAATAAAAAGGAGGATGAAATGTGCTGATAATGAATCATGCAATGTTTTGTTAAATTTCCTAAAAGGTGGATGGGGGTTACAGCACTTTTTACCATAATGCTTCACATTCAGTTTCTATCATTTTTACGTTTCAAAATAAAATACAACTTACGGACTGCTGGTTGTGTTACTGCAGTATACATGTGCTGGTCATATGACTAAGCTGATTTATTTCAGTAATTCCATTCAAAAAGTGAAACTTGTACATTAGATTAATTCAGTACACAGATACTGATATATTTCAAATGTTTTTCTTTAGTACTGATGATGAACTATGAAAATCCCAAATTCTGTTTCTCATAAAATTTGAATATCAATTAAGACCAATGCAAAAAAATGTATTTTAGAAATGTTGGTCAACAGAAAAGTATGAAAATGAAAAGCATGAGCATGTACAGCACTCAATAGTTAGTTGTGGCACCTATGGCCTGGATTTCTGCAGAAACGTGGCATGGCATGTAGTCGATCTGTCTGTGGCACTGCTCAGGTGTTATGAGAGCCCATGTTGCCTTCAGCTCGTCTAAATTGTTGGGTGTGGCGTATCGCATCGTCCTCTTCACAATACCCCATTGATTTCTATGGGGTTGGACCTTGTACCAACACCAGACGATGAGAAGGCATCTCAAACCAGCACTAACTGTGGAAACTTTACACTGGACCTCAAGCAACATGGATTCTGTGCCTTTCCTCTCTTTCTCCAGACTCTGGGACCTTGAGTTCCAAAGGAAAAGCAAAATTTACTTTCATGAGAGAACATAACGTTGCACCATTCAGCAGCAATCCAGTCCTTTTTGTCTTCAGCCCAGGTGAGTCATTTCAGATGCTGTCTCTTGTTTGAGTGGCTGACAGCTGAAACCCATGTCTCGCATACGTCTGTGCGCAGTGGTTCTTGAAGTACTGACTCTAGCTGCAGTCTGAATCTTCCCCACATTTTGAACGGGTTTTGTTTCACAATCCTCTCCAGGGTGCGGTTATCCCTACTGCTTGTAGACTTTTTCTACCACATCTTGTCCTTCTCTTCGGCTCTCTTAATGTGCTTGGACACAGAGCTCTGTGAACAACCAGCCTCTTTAGCAATGACCTTTGTGTCTTGCCACTTTTTTGCATTGGTCTTATTTGATATTTGAATCTTCTGAGACATTGAATATGGGATTTATGTTAGTTTTCAGTAATAATTATCAAAATTAAAATAATTAAGAATAATCTGAAATATATCAATCTGTGTGTAATGAATGAATCTAATATACAAGTTTAACTTTTGAATGGAATTATTGAATTAAATTAACCTCGTCGTGGTATTCTAATTTTATGACCAGCACATGTAATGTAATGAAAATAGGGAGGGAAAAGTCAGGTTTGCCTTTTTCTGACATTTATCAGCTTATGTTTGTTTACAGAAAACTGCAGAGAAACATCAATTTTAAAGACAGAATTTCAAGAACTGTTAAACTACAGCGAAAAGCTCTTGTGACTACAATACAACTTACCCCATGCAGGGTCAGTTTTACCTAAAGACACGTGTCCTTTAAACAGATAAGTTCAAACAGGCGTCATTAATACATGTGACAAGTGGCAGATAGAAGAGCTTTGCAAATAAGTAGTACCTGGACTGTGAGGGCCAGATTTGAAGGTGCTAAATATTTATTTTCTGCGGCAATATATAAATTCCTTAAAAATAATACAATGTGATTTCCTGGAATTGTACACAGTGAAGTGTACCTTTAACAAAAATTACAGACCTCTCACAGACCTTACAGACCAATTTTTGCCTCAGTAATGCATAGAGATTTCTATTTGTAACTTTATTTACTCAAAACACAAAAACTAAATGTATGAAGCTTCATAAAGAACATCAAAAAGCCATTATCATTTCTTTACCCTGATTTGTTAGCTTGATCGATCTTTTTCCCATTTTTGAGAACTGTAATGTTAAACTGACACCAGTATGAAGATTTACTAAATTGTGTCATAATATTTTCAACCGATATGCCTGGCTCCATTTGGGTTCGCCATTAGCTTATCAGTCCTGTAGGATGTAAAAGCTGTTTATCCAAATTGAAGCCATTCAGGAAGAAAATCACAGCAAATACAATAACAAAGGCAGAATTATTCATTTAACCAAAGCTAACAGTTGCAAAAGGAGTACTCCATAATGAGAATTATTTTGTAAAATGATTAAAACATGCCTGGAAAGTAGTCTGTCAAAAGCATGCTACCTTGACCAGGTTGAGTATGATAATGGGCGAGCCAAACCGCTGCAGCATCTGGTCAAAATGGAGGGCTGCTACGTTTGCATATGGGTCTGCTTGGTCCACTGTAAAAAATAAAAATAAAAAACGAATTAAATTCTAATTGAGATTGTAACAGTTACTAAAAAGTTAAATTTAAACTTATATACAACAAATAGAGGCTGCTAAAATCCCTATTCATCAACCAGCACCATTTATGTGGACAAAACCCATTTAAACAAATATCTTAAGCAGCAAACAGAAAACAGAATGATGTAGCAGTTCCACTTGCCCACCTCCCAAACTTGATTTTATGTCAAGTATTTGCATGATTTTTCAGGTTTGTAACTTTTGAAGAGACTGCTGGAGAACTCTGATGTCAAATAAAAAGAGCACTTATGTTTAAAGCTGCAATCATTCTCTTTCCCTTTTTTATTCATTCTGCACTTTCAAAAATAGTTCATTGCTTCCATCTGCGACAACCTGAGCCTCACACCCGCAGCCACACGCAAAAAGGACTACAAGGTCAACGGAGGAGGGACTGCAAGAAATGGGTCAGCCAGTTTTGTAATTAATTTCACTTTTAAGAAAAACTATCATGATGGGCTCCTCAATGCAGCAGCAGATCCTCAGTTTAGAAGTCCCTTTCATCTGTATTTCTGCTCGGTGCAGAAAACACAATTTAATAGCTTTAAGGTATTTTCATTTACTTATCTAAATACATGCAACTGTCAGAATACAAAACGGAGCTCAAACCGTGTCTTTGTGACACTGCTGATTTATCTAATATACATGTCCATTTGATTCTGTTTAGTTATATAGCAGCAAATCATGAGTCAGTTCAGTTTATTATGCCAATCAGTAAAAAGTTTGTTATGTAACAGAACTCAGCAGACTGCATCGTGACTTTACAGCAGGGGTGGGCAACTCAAGTCCTCGAGGGCCGGTATCCTCCATCTTTTTGTTATTTCCCAGTTCCAACACAGTTGATTCAGCAGCTCATCAAGCTGCAGAAGCCAGCTAATCTCCTGCTGATTCAAATCAGGTGTATTGAAACAGGGAAAACGGTAAAACATGTGGGATAGTGGCCCTCGAGGACCAGGATTGCCCGCCCCTGCTTTACAGCAATCCTTATGCTAAGCAAGTATGCAGCGACAGTGGAGAGGAAAACTCCCTTTTAACAGGAAGAAACCTCCAGAGGATCCTGGCTCAGTATAAGCAGCCATCCACCACGACTCACTGGGGATGGAGAAGACAGAGCAGACACAGACACAGACACACACACACACACACAGACACACAGACACACAGACACACAGACACACACACACACACACACACACACACACACACACACACACACACACACACACACACACACACACACACACACACACACACACACACACACACACACAAAATTCCCCACTGCAACAAAAACAGGAACTTCTCCCAAGGAAAGAAAATGTGCCTTGAACCCTTTTCTTCAGTATTTTCACTAAGGTCTTTAAGTAAATAACACTTAAATGAGGCCATTAAATGGACAAACTATTTTGCTGCTGAGTCAGTAATAAAAATGGAAAGCGGTCTTCCTTTGAAATGACTGTTTTTACTCAAAATCTTGTCATTTTCTACATGTCGAAGAACATGGCAATACTGAGAATAAAAGTGGACTAATTCTGTTGAATCATGAAGCGGACTTTCCAGCGAGCATTAAACGCCGCCCACAGGCTCGGGGATTTCTGCATTCTTGAGAAGTCCCTCGGATTTATATGTGAAGACTACACCTCCCGTACCAGCCCAAACTCATGCCATCCAGCCCAACCAAACTGCGACCGTGCTGACGCTAATGTGTACGTGCCAATAGAGACATAGATGTGACCTGACACTTTTCTTGTTCACCAGTATAGAGGTCAGAACATCCCTCAATTCACTATCAGCGGATTTGACTTCACTCAGCTTGTGTTTTTTCCTCGATGTGAACCACTTTCTGAGATTATTGTTGGGTTAAAAATGTTCAGGAGTATCCATCGGTTGGGTTGCGGGGGCAGACGCCTAAGCAGGGAGGCCCAGACTTCCCTCTCCCCAGCCACTTGGACCAGCAATTTCAGGGCATTCCTACGGAGTTCCTTTAGGCCTTCTACTGGTTGAACGTGCTCGGAAAACCTCACCAGGGAGGCGTCCAGGAGGCATTCTGACCAGATAACTGAACCACCTCAACTGGCTCCTCTCGATGTGGAGGAGCAGCAGGTCTACTCCGAGCCCCTCCCGGATGACCAAGCTTCTCACCCTATCTCTAAGGGAAAGCCTTGCCACCCTGTGGAGAAAACTCATTTCGGCCGCTTGTATCCATTCTTTCGGTCACTACCCAAAGCTCGTGACTATAGGTGAGGGTAGGAACGTAGACACCTATAGGACTCTTTCTTCAGCTTGATGGCATCCCTAACCGTCGGTGTCCACTAGTGGGTTCGGGAATTGTCAACCACGACAGGCACCGACAACCCTGTGACCGCAGCTCCGGTCTGCTGCCTCGACAATGGAAGCGCGGAAGTGTTCTGGAGTATTATGCTTGGAAAAATAAAACGCCGGTTGTGTTATCCATTTTCATACCCTTATTATTTTTCATGTGATGCTGCTGAAGAGAATAAAATATTATTTTACATTTCAGAGATCTTTATTCATATTCCTAAATCTCTACACTGGTTACCAGTAAACTGTAGAATCAATTTCAAAGTGCTGCTACTAGTTTATAAATCACTCAAAGGCAGAATACGTGTTGGATTTATCAAGGCTCTGAGATCCTTCAGAAAAAGTTAGCTTTTAGATTCCCGGGTCAGAACCAAAGAGGGTGAAGCTGTTTTTAGCTACTATGCTGCACACAGATGGAATCAGCTTCCTTAGGAACTCGGATCTGCCCCAACTCTAGTAACATTTAAATCATCATGTATTCATCAGCCTATGCATGTTTCTTATGCTTCACCTTCTGCACTGCAGCTGCTCAGCCTCGTCTTTTTTCTGATTCTTAAATCTGAAATTATTTTGTGTATTTAATTTGGTGTAAATTTATTTGAGTATTTTAATTGTGCTGTCACATTATTGTTATGTCCTTGCTGTTCTCACAAGGAACATTGAATTGCATCTGTGTATAAAATGTGCTTATTCAAATAAAGCCGCCTTGTCATCAGTCTCAGGGAACGAATCACCTCCCTCTGACTGAGGTTTTGTGCTTTTATTCTGTTTATAATAAGACTGTGGATGAAGAAGGAGGTCACTCTGTCCTCATCTACTTTTTAAAATTTATTCCATCTCTTTGATATTTTTTGATACTGGTTAAAAAGTCGGGCCTTATTACAAAACATGTCTTACTTGAAATTTGTTTTTCTGTTTTACCTTCTAGTACAAAATTAAAATCATGAAAAAGTACTATGTCTGGATTGCTTTGCTAACTTTTAATATGCGTAATAAATTAGAGACGCTCAATATTGGCTTTTTGACCAATATCCGATATGCCGACATTGTCTGACTCTTCTGATATCAATCTACACCGAGTCTCCCTCTCATAAAAACAAAAAATCTAAAACCTTTTAGGTTACATACATCACATATCTCTTATCATGCATGCTTAGATTTTAGATATTTTCTATGCAAAATGACAACTACTTAATAGGAAAAGTGCCATACTTAACAACTGAATCTCATTCTCCCTAAGTTGTGTGTATTAGTTAGTAATGTATTTGTTCTGTTTCTGTATATTGCAGAAACCTCTAAATCTGAGACCATGGTCTTGAGTCAGAAAAGGGTAGAATATCTTCTCCGGGTCAGGGATGAGGTCCTGCCCCAAGTGGACGAGTTTAAGTATCTCGGGGTCTTGTTCACGAGTGAGGGAAAGCATGGAGAACGAGATCGATAGGTGGATTGGTGCTGCATCTGCAGTGATGCGGGCGTTGTAGCGGTTTGTCATGGTAAAGAGAGAGCTGAGCCAGAAGGCAAAGCTCTCGATTTACCAGTCGATCTACATTCCCACCCTCACCTCTGGTCATGAGCTTTGGGTAGTGATCGAAAGAACGAGACTGCGGATACAAACTGCCGAAATGAGTTTTCTACACAGAATGGCTGGGCTCTCCATAAGAGATAGGGTGAGAAGCTCGGTCATCCGGGAGGGACTCTGAGTAGATTTGCTGCTCCTCCACATGGAGAGGAGCCAGTTGAGGTGGCTCGGGCATCTGGGCAGGATGCCTCCTGGATGCTCCCTGGTGAGGTTTTCCGGGCACATCCAACCTGGTGGAGGTCTAAAGGGAGACCCAGGACACATTGAAGGGACTACGTCTCTCGCCTGTCCAGGGAACGCCTTTGGATTTCCCCTGAAGAGGTGGCCCAAGTGGCTGGGGAGAGGGAAGTCTGGGCCTCTCGACTTAGGCTGCTGCCTCGCAACTCGACTCCGGAACAAAATGGATGGATTGATGGATGGATGTAAATTGCAGCTATGGAGATAAAAGCATTTACAAAGATCTTCAAATAAGAAAAGCAAGCCTTGGGTGAAGATTCTTGTTTTAGTCTTTTGCTAGCTATCTAGCTACACATAGCTACGTGCTGTAATGACAGCGTACGTTCACTAGACAAGGCGAATTTCAACTTCACAAGTTGTGCTAAATAAACTAAAATATCTCAGAAACTGTTTCTCTGATTGGTCATATTTTGACATTTTGAGAGAGAGAAGCAGCTGAAGAGTTTGATGTATATTATGTGTATGGTATGTAAAGCTTGTCTCATTAAAAGACTGAAAACAGATACTGATATTTTTTCAATATTAAATTTCAAATGCCGACTTTGATCGATATTAATGGTTTAGCAGTAATTTCAGACACACCTAGTGATAATGCCATTAGATAAAGAGCAATGTGTATTGGCAAAAATCTAGAGATAGGATATTTATCACAACACAGGGAAGACCATATTATATATTGCGATACTAACATCAAAACAATATGTGCAATTTTTAAGACCGAGTTTAATTGTACAACTCGGGCCAGACACTTCCAACACACACCCTGTGTAACCACAAGGTCTTGTCTGGTAAGAATCAAGGCGGTAAACACTGCTGCCAACTAGCAGTCGGAGTGTGAATTGCACCGCACCAAAGAAATACACAAAATGTTTGCATGTAAATAAAAAATCAATGCATTGCTTTTGAATATTGATTCAGTATCATTACACTAAATACCACAATATTCCAGTTTATCTCTATTTTCTTACATCACTAAATATAAGAAACATAACTCAGTTCCAAGTAATGAAAAAAACTTAATTTAAAGAACATTTTAAAGATAAATAAATCTATCTCACGTCGTATCGGGGGCTTTGGCATCATGGTGGAAATATCCTGGGACCAGTACAGCGGGACAGAGCCTCGCACTTGGATGTATGAGGAATAGCTTCCTGTTGTGAAGGACATAACTGAGGCGTCGTTAACAATCTGTTCCGTCTCTACCTCATTCGCTACATCACCCTGAAAAAAAAAAACAATAAAACCATGATGGTGGGGAGACACGTTTGCCTTTTACAAGTCAAGACTGAACTCTGATTAGAGCTCAACTTCTACCTGTGTGCAATAGGAATAGAGTATGAGTCACATGAAGAATTGATGCACTATAAAATGAATTAGTAGTCCAAAATGAGGATGAAAACCCTTTTTTGAAGGAAGAGTTCCTTCTTCCTCCTTCCTCCCACTATACACCCACACAGACACTTATGCATAGTGAGGAAAGAGGCCGTGGATCAAATTAACCCCCCGTGATCAACTTGAGTCATCTCAATCATCCTGATGGCCTTAAGCTTTGCCTCCACTATCTATTGTCCCCGTTGCCCGAGCAACCGTTGTACCTCGCAGTTGGCACCTCTTTTCAGGAAACGGGTTCCTGCGAATCTGCTGGAGCGCCTTGCAATGAGGGTGATGTGAACCGGTCGACCGTAGATCAGCAGTTCTGAGATCATTGGGTAAAGGAGGTGTAACAAAACAATAAACACAAATAATAAATCTATACTTCATAACTATAAAATACAAAACAGAAAAGGTGAATTTTAAAAGTCTGCAACACCTGGTTTCTTATATTTTACCATTTTTATTGAAGTTCTATTTTTCTTGCCAATGCATAAGCACTGAAGCATCTCACTACTGATGTGTTTGCATTTCTGCCATGATTTGTGTCTATTATACGCCCTGCACCTTTGAAAAAAAAACTTTAGAACTTTAAAATGGCTCCTTTGGGAAGAAAATGGCCTGACGTTTGGTAGCATGTAAATATAAGATATGCTGTAGAAAAGAAATTCTAAAAAAACAACAACCACCACCACCAACAGTGGGGTTGGGAAAAACCTCACTACTGAATCATCCTTTAAAGTTTCAGCCAGACAAGAAGTTGGACTTGGCTTTTAAATATAATATGAATAAATCGTAGTTGAGTTTTATGACTTGGGGAGATTTCACAACCAATGATTCAACTGTCTAAATCAGGAATGTCCAGAGCGAACCCTTGAAGTGATGTCATGCAGTCGCCATTTGTATTTCTAGAATGAAGAACCTTCTCTCCAGCAAGCTGTTCCCTGCATTTTTAAACATTTGAACTAATATGTTTACTTTGGACCTACTTTGAAGAGCGCAAATGAAAAACATAACGACCATGAAATCATTTTTGTATTTTTTTAAATATATCATTATGAGAGCTGCGCTGTGGTGCAGTGGTTAGAGCTGTTGCCTTGCAGCTAGAAGGTCCTGGGTTCATTTCCCGGCCTGGGATCTTTCTGCATGGAGTTTGCATGTTCTCCCTGTGCATGCGTGGGTTCTCTCCGGGTACGCCGGCTTCCTCCCACAGTCCATAAACATGACTATTAGGTTGATTGGTCTGTCTACATTGTCCTTGGGGGGTGTGTGTGTGTGTGTGTGTGTGTGTGTGTGTGTGTGTGTGTGTGTGTGTGTGTGTGTGTCATTGTTTGTCCTGTGTGTCTCTTTGTTGCCCTGCGATGGACTGGCTCTCTGTCCACGGTGTACCCCGACTGATTGCCGGTTGACCATTGGAGATAGGCACCAGCCCCTACATGGACAAGCGGGTTCAGAAAATGGATGGATGGATGGATGGATGGATGGATGGATGGATGGATGGATGGATGGATAATCATGTGGCCCGTTTTTGGCCCACATCTTGAAAAGTTTCGACTTTTCTGATGAGTCCAAATTCATCACGTTTAATTTTTTTTATGAATATACACATTTTACTCCCCAAACTTTTTTTTTTAGTATAAACACAAATCTTGCATCAAAATTTTAGGATTTTTGTCCTATTCCACTTGCAATGTTTCCCACTCCTTTACAACTTATGGTTTTCCTTCCAACTTGACATAGATTTCAGCTAAAGTTTAGCTCAAATTATTCTCTTTAATACTAAAAGTAAAGGTTCTATAAATCCTTATTTAATCTACATTAAATGCCATAAAATCATAAAAATACATTTGTGATCATCAGCAAAGTTCAAGAATTTTCTCAGTATGACTTGGGCCTAGTCCACACGTAGCCGGGTTTTTTAAAAACGAATATCCACCCCTCCAAAAACTTGCATCCACACCACCTCGTTTAAAAAAAAACTCTGTCCACACGTACCCGTATAAATACGTTGTTAAGGACATGCCAGACCTGTAGGCGGCAGTACTTCCCCCGTTCTTAACCTCGTCCTTCGTCTGTGGTCTTCCACAAGGAGCAGTAATTCCGCTTGCAAAAACAAACAAGCAAAAAGCGCTTGGACAATTGATAAAGCGAGCGCAGCTCTGAGGGCATCCATGATGTCGGCTAGTGTAAACACAGGTCGCACACGTGATGTCAGCATTTATTTGTCGTGGAAAGTGACGTTGCGGACCTTAGAACTCCGGTTTTGTCCGTCCACACGCAGACACCCAAAACGGAGAAAACGCAGATCTTCACTTTGGCCGGAGTTTTTAAAAAGATCCGTTTTCATGTGAAAAAACTCCGTTTTCATGTGGATGACAGGCCAAAACGTAGAAAAATATCTACGTTTTGGCAGATCCCCGGCTACGTATGGACAGGGCCTTAGTTTTTGCACAGCAACTGGTTGAGGTTTGCTTTCTGGGCTGCCTCACATTAAGGCCCTGTCCACACGTAGCCGGGGATCTGCCAAAACATAGATATTTTTCTACGTTTTGGCCTGTCATCCACATGAAAACGGATCTTTTTAAAAACTCCGGCCAAAGTGAAGATCTGCGTTTTCTCCGTTTTGGGTGTCTGCGTGTGGACAGACAAAACCGGAGTTTTAAGGTCCGCAACGTCACTTTCCGCGACAAAAAAATGCTGACATCATGTGTGCGACCTGTGTTTACACTGGCCGACAGCATGGATGCCCTCAGAGCTGCGCTCGCTTTATCAATTGTCCAAGCGCTTTTTGCTTGTTTGTTTTTGCAAGCAGAATTACTGCTCCTTGCAGAAGACCACAGACGAAGGACGAGGTTAAGAACGGGGGAAGTACTGCCGCCTACAGGTCTGGCATGTCCTTAACAACGTATTTATCCGGGTACGTGTGGACAGAGTTTTTTTTTTTTAAACGAGGTGGTGTGGATGCAAGTTTTTGGAGGGGTGGATATTCGTTTTTAAAAAACCCGGCTACGTGTGGACTAGGCCTAAGTTTGCTGTCATGGACTGAGAGGCACAGCTGTGCTGTTACCATGGTGACCATAACGAGCCACTGGCAGCAGCTTTATTAGCATTTGATCTTGGTTTTCTTAATACGTTTGTACAGTTTATAAGATGTTATTTTGTCTCAGCTTGCATAATCACGAGTGCCACTGGCACGTTTAGAGGGAGTCTTCAGAAATGTTCTAGTTTCTAACGTTTACACTCACACAGAACAAACAGAAAAATGGTTTGCATTTACAATGTTTTCAACCATTGCATTCTCTTGAGTTTAAACTTAGGGGTGCATACACTTTTTATTTCCTATAAACATCTGTGCATCGTCACTTTGCATCATCTGTGCTTCTCCTCCTCTCACTGTAGCAGAAGCGAAGGTCAAACCGTTTCCAGGAAAGGTCTAAAATTTCCCACATATTCTCTCAGTCGTTATCCACCCTCTCATGAAAAGAAAAACATTGATGTTTCACTGTGAATACTTATAAACTGAAGTCTGTGTATAAATATTTATGAGCATTAGTGGTAAAACGTAACACTTTAAACTGCTTAATGTGGCTGGAGTTAATAAGACGTGATGGTAAATGACTTGAAATTGAATCCTGAGCCCAAGGCAAACCTTTATCCTCATGAATCAGAATATTTACTCTCTGCAGCTGTGCACCATGCATCAATCTAGCAGAAGCTTTTTCAAAAATCCTAAGGCAATTACTCATGTAGCCTCAGCTTTCTGGGTCTCAGTTTAAACATTTAAAGGCATTAATAAAGTGAAACACTGGCAATCAAGTTCCTTCCTGCAGCAAGCAGATGGACAGATTATGCAATTACCAGTGTCTATTCACCTGTTAACGCCGTATTTATTTTGCTAAAGCTACTAAAGGGCTGAATCCCACGCTCCTGCTCACAAGTGAGATCCACGTGCTCCGACGAGGGACCAAAAGCAGCTCGGCAAGTTAAAGCCGGGCTGAAAGGAAGGGGGGAGTGTCGCTGAAATACAGCTGTGTCGTCTTACCTGTGTGTGCTCAGTTAAACCCATCAGAGCTCAAAGATGTCACGTTCAAACAAAGACTCAAGATTATGCTTTTAAAGTGAGCACACTTTGTAAAGGTTTCTCCTGAAACCCATAGCAACAAGTAGATTGTGGCAACTAGAAATAAAGTTGAAACACACACACACACACACACACACACACACACACACACTAGCAAACACACTTGACCTGTCAGTGCTTGAAGGATACTCGACTGGCCACAAAAGCCATGGATTATGTACATGAGCCAGTTCGGATGCACTATGTCCTTGATGTGCTCGAGGAGCTTCCCGTTCCACACAAACTTGTAATACGGCTCGTTCTGGAGGCTGTAAACCACTGTGGAGGAAAAATAGACACGTAAAAAAATAACACTGGATCATTTTACTAAACTGGGATGAGTCAAACTAATCGGTTGAGAGCATATTTAGAAAGGGAAAAACGGTGACGTAAAACATCGAGAGTTATTTAGAAATGTTTGTAATCGCACCAAGGATCACGCCTTTTTTACACAATATCTTAAAAGTAAAAAACCTCACCAACTAAATATGCATTTAAATGAGCCATCTATGACTTGAAATCTGCTGTTGTGTTTTGTCTGTGTGTGTGTTAGTGGTTACAAAAGATCTCATCAACCACTGGATGGATTGTAATGAAACTTTCAGAAAGTAATCATCGGTGACTAATTTAAGAAGTCAACCCAATTTAAGATGATTCTTGTGCCCAACTACATTTAACAAGCACAGAAATGGCTATAACATCATTTTTGACCCCACCCCACGACTGAGAGCCATCATTGGAGCGTGGCCAGGCTATATAGTCACATATATAGGACGGCTTGCCAGGCTACACAACCCCATCCTTCCTCAACAAAAGATGATCTTAAGTTTAAAACAATGGAATGAATCTTTGCAGGTGACATGCATTCCTACAAGGATTTCTAGGCTTTTTCATTTAATTGAGCCCAATTTATAACACCTAATGGTAAATTCTAAATATATTTCACACTTAACCTATTTTATGGTGTAATTTTTTTAAATTTAGATTTCATTACATTTAATAAAAAAAATGTTGACGAGTTAAAGTCTCGAAGGAGTATCAGGTTTTACTTGTAACACACAAAAAATAAAAAACAGAAATTCCCAAAGTAGCAATGTTGTCATGATACTTTTTTTGTTTGCTATATTTACTGAGTGTATAACCTATACTCTACAGGCTAATTCTCACAGCAACTACAACAGCCTGGCCTTCAGCTCAGAACATCGTCATTGCAATAAGACTCAAGAAAAGTTGTAACCCCTGCTCACCTTGTGTTGGCAAACCTTCGTCCTCAAAGATGTCAAAGCTGTCCTGCTTGCTCTGGGCATGCACCTCTTCCTCAGCAGCAGGATCTGCTGACGACCACAGTTCATAAGGTCTCTGCAGCAATGTGAGGTTGTACTGCAGCGAGTGGCTCAGGTCATAGCTGTAGCTGCAGGGCATAAGGGCGATGTGACAGAAGAACATGCTGTACTGTCCCATAAATCCCCCAGAATTTGTTACTGCTGCAGAAATAGTGTTTTGAACTACTTTCATGCATGCGCAACAAGAAATATCAAGAGTTTTTCATATCAGGAGAGAGTGACTTGTTGCCAAATACCTGCAGCAAGACAATTTCTAACAAATTATGCACTAGAAATATAGTTTTCTTCAAAGCAAAAATCATCATAACCAAAAAAAGTTAGATATTATACAGTGCAAGCACTCTACCTGTATTGTAAATATCTTAACTATTGCCTCCCGAACAATGTTATTAATGTTTTCTTTAATTCAAGGACAATAATGAATTTACTTTTGTAATTTCATTGAAGAGAAATTAGACTTAATATGATCCTACCTGAAGTAGAAGTTGCTAGAAAGGTCTACGTTCTGAAAAATCCGCACATATCTGTAACATAAAGCTCAGTCAGTAACCACACATTTAACAGCAGGAGAGCGGAACAACTTATCACGATTATCTCATCTTTAAAAATAAGCAACTGTAGTTCACATTCGTGAAGTTTTGTCCACGTATGAAAACAGACACAAAATTCCTTTTTTGGGTCAGAAATTTTTAGTTATCATTTCTCATAAAGATGTATTCAGAAAGTTTTCACTTTTCCTCTGGATATCCAACACAATGAGATGAAGAAACAAAAAATCTCCTTCGCTATGAAATTTGAGATTTTAATATCATCTAAAATCTTAAAAAAGAAGAGGATGGAGTGGGCGAGACAATACCTCGCTTCATCTGGGTGTGCAACTCTAACAGAATCATTAGGGATGTAGATCATGGACGTGTCTTCAATCTTATAAATAGAGTGACCTCCGATGTCAGCCATTTTTCTGCGTTTGGTGATCAGTACGATGTAGAATCCCTCGAGAAAACGTACAAACCCTGTCAGAGAAGAAATAAAACACAGTATTATCAAATCCTGTTCAAATTTCGTTTAATTACTACATAAAGGTACAACTCTTTGTAGAAAAAAAGTTGATGTGAATGAAGATTACTTTTTAAGAGCAACCTTTAATCATCTACAGCTCAGGTGGTTTACAAACAAGTGCAGATTCTCTTCATATGTGTCTGAGTCTGCTTTTGTGTAAGAAAATTGGTTAATGTGTTTTCATAATTAAAATCTGACCCAGACAGCATCATGAAACATGACTAATGATTTGCTTTCAGCTTTGGAGGACCTATTTTCTCATGGCACTTAACCCAAAACACAAATCGATGCCAGCATTTTCTTTAGAAATGCCTCATCAAGGCAAATAATCATAAAAATGAGTCCCCTGTTAAAATTCCCACTTTGATGCCAACTCATATTACTAAATATTTATTATCCTGATAAATTCTACGTTTGTTTTCTTTTACTAAGTTTTTCTTCATTAAACATGTATGATCAAACCTTGGAAAAAGAAACATGGAATCAGTTTTAAGCTATTTGATTATTAAGTATGAGCTGATGTGTCAAACACTTTTGAAGCCTGAATTTATACCAGGAAATGAAACGGTCTGTTTCAGTGAAGCTCCGCCAACACCCGCTTTGACAAAACGTGCCCACCACATCGTCTTAGACAAGGTTGCTTTTGTATAGGGAGCCCGAGTCTCCTCCCTTTCCGGTCGGCTCACGGGTCCCCGGAAGAACAAAAAATGAATGCAAGTCAACGGAGCTAAAAGAGCTATTTTCTAATCTGCTTTGCCTTACGCCCTGGATCACACAAATGTTGTAGTGCAGTTCAAATGAAAACTAATGATGGGCGTTTCGACCACGCCAGTCACGCACTTTGAGATTTATCAGCTTGTAAATGTTCGTAATTAGCATGACTACAAATCAGACATCGGCACGTCGCATACACATAATCTCCTCTCCCCTAGCGTAGCTGCTACTTACCACATGGCCAGATTTATGGTGGTTCTTTCCTCCTGAACGAAGGATTTGAAGTAGGGATGCACCGATACTTCTTTTTTCCAACCCGATACGATACCGATACTTGGATCTGGGTACTCGCCGATGCCGATTACCGATACCGATACTTCCACCACACAAAAAAATGCAATGATTTGGAATACAGATTTTATTTTCTTCTCTGCTTTCAACAGGAAGAGACTGTGAGGAAGATAAAAAGTAAAATATATGAATGGAAATCATTAAAAAACTAAAATATTAGGTGAACAGAAATGACAAGTTACAGTGAAGCCATTTTCAAGCAACTGCATTGGTATCGGTTCCTGGTATCGGTTAACTTTTACCAATACCGATACTGGTATTGGAATCGGCACCGATACTGGTATCGGTGCCGATTCCAATACCAGTATCGGTATCGGTGCATCCCTAATTTGAAGTTCACAGAATTTACAGCCATTTTCCCTCAGTTTCTCTCCGTGTCTGGTTTGATGACGTCAATTTCATTAAGCGCATTTGTAGTCCTGGTCTTATTTTCACACAAAACCTAAATTAGCTTTTACTCCCATGCAAAAATAAGTGCTTTCTTGCTATCAAAATTCTTCTTTAAAATTCACGGACATCATATAACCATGGCACATAAGTGGAATTAGACAACAGCATTTTGGGCCCCATTTTCATATTTTTGTTCTTCAGGGGACCCATAGTCCTGAAGTAGATGGGCGTGACTTTGGCTCCCTATTGCCTTTGGTAGTCGAGCAGTCTGCCTTTCACCTTGCTTTGCCATGCCCTGATGCCAGTTCGACTCCCAGTGTCGGCGGTAATTTATTCAGCCAGCGGAAGCAAATTTCATGTTTTTACATTTTAGATTTATTGATTATTTTTAGATCTTTAGAGCTGTTGCCTTGCAGCAAGAAGGTCCTGGGTTCGCTTCCCGGCCTGGGATCTTTCTGCATGGAGTTTGCGTGTTCTCCCTGTGCATGCGCATGACTGTCAGGTTGATTGGTCTGTCTAAATTGTCCTTAGGTGTGTGTGCATGATTGTTTGTCCTGTGTGTGTCTGTGTTGCCCTGCGATGGACTGGCTTCTCTGTCCAGGGTGTACCGCGCCTGATTGCCCATTGACTGCTGGTGATAGGCACCAGCCCACCATCCCAGCCCCCCCCCCCCCCCCCCCCCCCCCGCAAAATATCTTGTCTCTAAAGATCTTTGAATTTGGTCATTTTCAAGCAGCATTTAGTTGATTTACTCTGCTCACCTCACATGGACTCATACTGGCTCTAAACACACAAAGTAAAAAGTAAAAAATAAAAAAAATAAAACTATTTTTTTTTACACTCCCACTGTCTTTATTGGTGACCCCACAAGGAAATTTGACCATTGAGCAGGGTTGATGGTGTATTCCTTGAGGTCCACGTGGCAGGGGTGAGGTGGTGCTCACTCCTCACCCCTGCCAAAACCATCAACCCTGCTCAATGGTCAACTTTCCTTGCGGGGTCACACCCCACACCCATTAGGACAGTGGGAGGGTTAAACATGAGTTCTAAACAGTTTTCCAATAAAGGGTTGAAAACATAATACTGACAAGTGTAGCTAAAAAAAGAAGAAAAAAGTTACAACTGTTGTAAAACAGTAAGCAAAGGCAGGTACTCAAACCACTATGCTACCAAGCCTGGCCCAAAAGAGTAGTCGCCTAACACACATCTCCTGTGCTGGCCATTTTATGCATCTTTGTGGACAGAAAATGTGTTTTTTACGGCATTATTTTGTCCCCAGTGTCGAAATAATCTGTCAGGATATTCACTGGTGGAGGTTTAAAGCAGTCCTCTGTTAGCCTGGCAAGCAAAACTTAAATAAATGTCCTCTTTGACATTAACGTCACAATCTCAACTGCAGCATTAAATCAACCGCCCTTTTCTTGCAACTCGTAGAAGGTGGGCGTTAGTGACCTACTTCCAGGGGAGGCAGGTTTCAGATTGGAGACTAGCTTAAGGTGGAGGAGCAGGGCCTGATGATGCTACTTTTGTCCATTTGCAGGCAGGAACTTAAATGTGAAAAAATTTAAGCTGAGGCAAGAAATGTACGAATTCAGCAAAAAATAAATACAAATAAGGGTGTGGGGGTATTTCTGATGAGGAAATGAAAATATCAGATGGTAAAAAGCTCCAAAAAGTGGATTTTTTTCATGATATGGCCCATTTAAATAGCTACTCTCCCCGTGTCGTTTGTTATGATGCTGGGTGACAGTTTGCATCCATTGAGTGTTCCTTTCTGCGAGACATGGGTCAGAATGACAAAACCTGCAAACCAAATGTGAATACAAATAAATTCAGAACGATGATACTTATCATGTGAACCAAGAGAAGGTTTTCTCAGATAACATTATATCTCACTCTTATTTTAATACCAGCTTGTAAAACAAAAAACTGTAGTTTTTTTTTTTTCATATTTAAACATAAATGTACCCATTTCAGTGGATTCATGATTTTGTTAAATTGGATATCCAAATTATTCTCTTGCTTTCTATTTATTAGGCTCACTGGGAAATAAAAGCATACATTGTGATCCCTGAGAGCAAAAGAAACATCTCAATATTAGGAAACATAGTTGGAGTCCTGCTGCAATGGCAGCAAAGACTTGTGGGGACATCTTTTGTTCTGTCTACTTAGTGTGAAAAAGCCGAGGGTTTGAGCGCTGATCATGCACTGAATGTATGAAATTCACAGTGCTGTCACACTTAAGACTCCACACAATAAACAACTGGAGAGGCTAATCACGTGATCTGTTACACAAACCGCTCATGTAAGCCTCGCTTTGTCAACTTAGAAAACGAGAGCAAGGCTCCGTTGAGAAAATGAGTGTGATCTGTGTTCAATAAATTGGATCAAAAGAGAGAAAGCGTTGGAACAGCTAACAGGAACGCTTCAACTAGGTCTGTGGGCCATAGTCTGAAACACATAGATAATTAGGTGTTTTTCTTTGTTGCTGGCATCTTCCGTGTCATCATGTGAATGCAACATTGTCCACAAGTTTTAATGGCATCTCAGTCATTTTTTCCAATGTGTTTCAATTTCACTGATGATTAGATGACTGTTGGATGACATAATATGTTTGTTTAAAGTACAAAAAGAAGATAAATCATTTCTAGTCATCAGGTTAAAATAATGAACCTTTTTGGGAGGTATGTTTCATTTCATTTGTTGCTAAGCTAACAATTCATTCCAACACTAACATGGTGGTGGTAGTGTGATGGTCTGGGGTGGCTTTGCTGCTTCAAGGTCTTGATTACTTAATGAAGGAGAATTTCTCGTGTTTTCATGCTGAAAATACTAATGTGGTTGAATCAAAACAATTCTGCACAAAGGCCTGGTTCCACAGTGATGCGAGAGCATCATTAGCTGTAATTGTTATACAACCAATTATTTGTTTTAGATGAGTGAATTATCTTTCCATATAGATATAGGTTGCTTTGTATAGTTTGTGTGAATTTTGCATTTACTCGATATTTTTTTCCTTATATAATTTTCTTTCTGCTGATCTGAAACTTGTGAATCAAAAACTTAAAAACAGAAGAAATACATAAGGGATCGAATACTTTTTACAGCACTGTACGATACATCAGAGCTCTTCATTGTACAGACAGGTGTTCTTTTCATTTCAGCATTTTCCATCGCTTGTTTCCAATAGGTGAAATACCAGGTCGGCGCATGCAGATGTAAAAGTAATTTCTCAAAGATGAGTTATTTATTCACACAGCCATGCACTGTTATGGCAGCTATTTTGCCATGGAGAAAGACGAGTAGGGGAACTGCACTCACCCACAATACCATAAGCTGACACGGCCTTGGACAAGCCAGATCCACCCTTTTGGCCAATTTTGGTACGGTTGCCCAGATCCAGACGGCCAAGCAACTCCCGCACCTCTTGCTGGTTGTACACATGCTTCAGAAGAAATAAACACAATTTAAGCATTGCAGATATTGAACAGATGTTTCTGGGATTTTCTGCCCTGAGTGTTGTCTTCAGGACGGCAGAATGTTTATTTTCACACACAAAAAAACTGAAGTTCTTTACTTTTTTCCTTTTTATTAAATAATAAACATTAATTGCATGGATGCATCTTAAATGCACGAATGAAAAGAAGGCTCTGCATCTATCTGGTCTTTTGAGTCTTGATCGTTCCATCAAATAGTGTTTAAAAACTACTACCATGCAAACTGTTATCAATCTAATCAATTAGCAGGTTTTAATGTAATTATTTACATTTTTCTCTATAGGCTCAACAGCTTAATTTAATCCAGAGAGACAGTCTTTAAAAAAATAACTAAATAAAGAAAACAATTATAAAGTTGTTCTTTGCTGCTTTTGACTAGTACAGTCAAAAGATTTAAAAATCCATTATATTCTCTAAGAAAGATGTCAGTGTAAATTCACAGCACCAAAGGCTCTGACTGGTGCAGTTTTAGTCATTTATGCTTCATGGTAACAAACACATTCATATTATAATGAACTACAAAAGGAAAAACAAATCAACTTCCCGCTCATGGGCTCTGTAATGAGCATCGGGGAAGAAAAGAAAGCGTGCTTATGGACAACACACTCGGGACTAGCTGAACGCTTGAACAATGTCCCCTTAGGCGCGCTGCAATGTATTACATAAGCATAAACAGTAAAAAGTTAAGCACTGAACCAGGTTTGGTGGAAAGTCATGGCTTACCTTATCGTCGATTATCACCAGGTCTTTGGATTCTGTGCGGTCGATCTTTAACACTCTATGTCTGGTCTGTGCATGATTGCTCCCTACCAAGAAATATCTCTGAAAAGTACATTTTGAGGATGAAAATGGCAGATTAATACAAGCAATGCATAAAAATACAGTGAATGTTGGCCCAAAAAACATTAGAGCACAGCATTTAGTTGATTGTGATTGACACTGGCGCATCCTTTCCATGCCTCCTTCCTATCATGTCATTATTTTATCTCATACTTGGCTGCAAAATGAGAGATTTTTTGTTCACTAAAACGTGTCAAATTAGAGCATCGTGTATTGGTACAGTTTGCAACCATCACAGCCTTTTGTCCTGTTCCGCTCTTCCCAGTATCAAACAGTCTTTTTCTTTCCCAGTAATAGTTCACATCAATTTACTGTGTAGTAAGAAAGAAGCAAGAAACAGATCATAATGATCCCCGTGACAGATATTCTATTTAACTGTGATCACACATTTTGTTTATACACCAATGAAATTACTGATATCATATTTAAATCAACATGTATGGCTGCTCTGCTTATGCAACATCCAATTTAAACAATGAGAAAGAAAAATGCACAAGTGTGTGTTTAATATGTTTGGGGAGGGAGCTCAAAATGTTTAAATTGAAAACTTCAATATTAACCTTTTGCTGCCATCTAGTGCTTATGACAAGTGCTCAGACGTATGCCTTTCTCCCTCCACATGCAGAAGTGATTAGATTCAATGTAAACATAAATGAATGAAGATGGCTTACAAAACGTGATTAGAAGAAACAATCACCCTACGATGGCAACTATGAAGAAAGCATTTGAGCTGAAAAAGATGTTAAGGGGTCTGCTGGGTATGCAATAATATATATATATATACACATATATATATATATACACATATATATATATACACACATATATATATATATATATATACATATATATATACACACACGTATATATATATATATATATATATATATATATATATATATATATATATATATACATATATATATAAACATATATATATATACATATATAAACATATATACATATATATATATATACATATATATATATATATACACACACATATATATATATATATATATATATATATATATATATATATATATATATATATATATATATATACTCATGCTTGCCATTATAAAGTTTTTGGAAGCCGTACAAAAGCACACAAACAAGTCAGACTTCAAAATATCTTCAAGTAACTAAGGGATGCAAAAGTCACAAGCTCTGAGTAATTTCTTTGAATGCCATTTTGGTAAAAACAATCAGGCCCGGTATGTTTTTTAATTTTTTTTTCTGCAGAAATGTGTTATCCAGTTATTCAAAATGCCTTTTTCTTTTTCCATTCATTTTTAGTCCACTTCTCCTTATTTCGGATCATTTTCAACTTTTGTGTTTTCCCAATCAAAAGACACCTACTTAGTTTGTTTGTCTTTTAAAAATGTAAAGTAATGTCCTAGTTCTCTGTTGCTCTTGTTATGACAATAAATAAGAACATGATGCACTTACAGCTCTCGTTTCATACAGAACCATCCTCTGAATGCCACTGATGACAGCCGCTGCCTGAGGCATTTTACTGCTGTATTCTTCCAAAACAAAAACTAAAGACAAAAGAACGGCTGGGTAAACTGTACCCAAATTTTAAATCCAAAACTTTACAATAATAATTAAAGGAAGTTGTGAGCCATTTAGCATTCAGGAAACTAGCTAATACGCTAATAGTGACTCACCAGTAGTTTAGCCTGCTAGCTTAACTAACAACAAAAATTAGCTCGAGCTATAATAAAACATCTCCGCTAGCTGCTAAAAAAACTATTTAGAACGCATTTAGTAAAGTTTTAATTGATATCTATCCATTCACGCCTGTTAGACTAACATTCAGGTTCATGCCAACCGGTCATGTGACTGTCAGGAGCGAGGTGCCGGCTGATATGGTGTCTCGCTAGGTCAAAAAGCACACGTTTTTGTTTTTTAACGCCATCAGAAAAATGCTGGCATTTCGCGTTTGCGTTGACGTTCTTCGTTCCATATGAGATTCTGTGAGTTTATAAGTGCTCGTACTTAAAGAATAAACACAATAAACTTATGAAAATCAACCAAAAACGTTATCAGGCATATTATTAAACTAACACGTTTCCATTGTGTTCCCCTCCGCTCCTGGAGTTTTGAGCTGCCATGGTAACGATTCTGCGTTAGGCAGTTGTGAAGACGTTATGCTAAACGTATATTATGTCGATGGCTAAAACTAGGCCGGTGTTGATGAAAGGTTACTAACGATTACCTTTACTTAAACGTGAGTACTTTTTGCGTCAGTGAAACTGTCTAACAACTGTTTAGAAAATAATTTCTGAGGTTTTATCGAGTATTTTGTTGTATATGACAGGCAAAATGGACGCTTTAGTAGACTGCCAAATAGAAGACGAATCAGAGAGAGATCGCCTTCGGGCAAAACCCACCTGCTTCGTCGTTTTTGGAAAACCAGTAGGTTCTTACATTTACAACTCTACACACTTTCAAAAAGTTACAGCTTATTCCTATCCCAACAGTGAAGTATCCAATTTTTAATTAATAATGTATACACTTTCTATCACAGGGTGTTGGTAAATCCACCTTAGCCAAAATGATAGCAACGTCTTGGCACTGTGTTCTTATTGACGGTAGGTATAGCTTTAGAATGTTTGTTTGTTATTGCACAAAACAAATTCTGCTTCCAAAACCTTTCAGATACTGACCTGCTCCAGACACACATTAAGGACAAGACTAAGGAAGGAACACAGGTAGGTGAAATGTGGTTTGATTTTATTATTTTATTGTAATTTTCTGTTGAACCATTTCAGATCCTGAACATGTTATCGGAGGGGGAACGTATACCCGAAGATTTAGTCCTGCAGCTGGTGCTTGCCAGACTCAACTCACCTGATGTTCAGCATTATGGTAAATTCTGCTGTCAGAGTGTATCCAACATATCTTATTACTGTGGTCAGGCGTGCTAAATAAAAAAATAAAACATCTCAACATACAAGAGATGTTTGATTATGCTAGGTTTAGCAGGAACATGTTCTGTTAGTGATCATTTGTTTACTGTGCACAGGTTATGTTCTGAGTTGGCTTCCTTTTTCCGAGGAATGTAAGAAGATCCCTGATCTGACTGAATTGATGGAAAACCTCAAACCAGCACCAGATTTCATCTTTTATATCAAGGTTATTTTCATTTCCTGTAATTATATTTGTGAGTTGCATCTGAGCAAATCTAGATATTTTTGAGTTTTCCTGTCCTTCACCAGTGTCCAGACAACGACCTTATCAAAAGACTGTCGAGTCTGAAGCAGCACCCAGTGACGGGGCATCTGTACAGCAGGGATCACTGGGATCGTGAAGAAGAGTTCATTGTAAAGAAGGGAAATGCAAACCAGTTGGTGGATGATGAGGAGGAACAGGAATTTGAGGTGAGCAGCTTCTTAGTGTGTAGCCTTATGATTCTCAGTCTTTTGCCTCTGCCTCTTTCCTTTAATTAAAATTTAAGATTTTGTTTTACAATTTATAAAATAGTTTCTACAAAGTTTCACCATGTACAAACCTTCAAATAAATAACAAAATCATATCTACAGTTTAAACAGAGACTACTACATTTATGTAATTTAAAGTGTCACCATACTCATATTAGACGTTTTTAAATCAAAGCAAGTGATATGACTATTTACACATCCTTAAGAATAAATCCCCAAAATAAAATTCCAAATCAATTATGTGTTGTTGTTTTTTTATCAAGGAGGCGGAGCTTCTAAAGACTGGAATGAATGATATTGACCAGTTGGTGTGGATGCCCAAAAATCTGCCCAGAGAGGCTTTAACTAGAATTAACAAGTACAAGGAAACACTTCTAAGACCATTGGAGGTAAGATACCTGTCACGGTCTGCGTCTCCCCTCATGTGTCTCTTTTTGTTCTCCATCCCTCTCTAGGTTCTCCCTATTGTGTCTCCTAGCGCCCTCATGTGTCCTTGTCTGCGTCTCCCTCATGTGTCTCCTTGTGATCCTCATTTGTCCCCAGATCTTCAGCCCTCTAGGTTTCCCTCCCCAAGTATCTCCCTCCCAGGTCCAGTGCTCCCGTGGTACCCCTTAGTCACGCCCCTGTAGTTTTTCTTTTTGTAGTGTTTTTCTTTAGTTTCAGCTGTTCATTTTTTTAGTCTCTTTAGTGTGTTTTTCCCACCGGTGTTTGTGGTTTTCCTCCCCCTTAGAATATTAGTTATGTTTTCTGCTCTTCTTGTCTTTAGGTTTTACTCTTAGGTCATGTTAGTTTCCTCCCCGATTAGTTAATTGTTTTCACTTGGTTTCTCTCCCCACACACCTGCAGCTCATCTCCCTCTCATCCTCCCCAGTGTATAAACCCCTGTCTGTGTCTCGATGTTTTGTCGGTCCATTGTTTGTTGTCAGCGTTGCCTCGTTCCCTCTCTTGGTCTCTTGGTTTTGGATTTCTCCAGGTCTGCTCTTTACAGGAGTACTAGGTCTCTAGGATTTTATGTATTAGGATTTTGGATTTATGTTTTTGGCTTCCTGCCCCTTTTGGATTTTAAGCTATGGTCTCCAGGATTTTTAGGACATTGTTTGATTCCTGCCCTTGGATTATTTTTGTTCCCATCAAAATAAAGGGATTTTACTTTACTAATCGCTCCTGCCTCGTGTCGTCTGGTGTTTCTGCATTTTGGGTCTAAACCTCCTCCTGGCTCTCATCGTGACAATACCCTGCACTTTCTTTTTTTACCAAGTCACTCTTTGAAGATTTACAACACTTTTATTTTGTAAACAAGCATGGTACAAAGTAGGGATGTAAGAAAACATTGATATAGCGAAATAGCAGGATATGTCATATCTCCAGGATTTCACCAATACACATCCTTGGTGCAAAGAGTGGAACAATCTGGATCATTCTTAATATTTTTTTCAAAACTTTTAGAGTTAGAATTTGCCATCAAACACACATCAGATCAATAAAATATTTCTAAGCTGAAATACAACAATGCAAATGTTTCATAGCTGCATGTCTTGTATTTGGTATTAGCAGAATTGTATAGTAAACATCAGATTTCTAAAAGATGAAGCCTGAAACTAAAAGCTTTTTTAAAATATAAATACATTTTCACTGACAGCCTCGCCTCTGTCAGCGCGCCCCAGGGCAGCTGTGGCTACACTGTAGCTCATCACCATCAGTGTGCGAATGTGTGTGTGAATGGATGAATGATGTAGTGTAAAGCACTTTGAAGTCCTTACTCTGAGAGGCGCTATACAAGTGCGGGTCATTTATCATTGCATTTTGAAGTAGTTTCTGATGTTTTTTTTCTCAGGACTACGTGAAAAAGCAAAAGCATCTGTACGTGTTGCATCTCGATGGAAACAAAACACCTGAAGAGCTCCATCTGGTAAATACTTCATCAAGCCATTTGTTTAGTTTTTACATAGCGTTAATCTGGTATTTGCTTCAGTGTGTAAACATAAATTGTATGTTAACTAGTTACGTTTATTTCTATGTTTCCATTTTAGGCTGTGATGACCCTGCTTGAATCTATGGCTATAAAGCGTGTCCCTGTTCCAGTGCTGCTCTACAACAACGAGATGGATGAAATGCAGTCAGGGAGCAATGACCAGCAGGTCTATTATTTTATTTATTTATTTTTTCATAATTGACTTTAACATGTTTTGCATCTGGCCTGGGAACACCTTAAGATTCCTTCAGAGGAGCTGGTCCAAGTGGCTGGAGAGAGGGATGTCTGGGCCTCTCTGCTTAAATGCTGCTTCCCCTGCAACCTCTTTATGGAGAATTTACATAACCAGTACTTTTTCTCCTCCACAGGAACATCTTCTGAAAACGATGTGTTCTTCCAGGACAGTGGCCCCTGGCTTTCTCTGGAGAAGGAGCCGCTGGGGTCAAACGTGTCCTGTGGCGCTTAAGGAGGGCAAGAATATTCCTGGCGACATAGAATTTTCTGTAGGGTGAGTGTCATCGAGCAACTTATTTCCTGGAAAACATCTGTCTAATTCTCATATCAAATCCCTAGTTTCCAGGACAAGCTGTACATCCTTTCATCTCAGGAGGCCTACATGAAGTTTGTCACAAACCCCAGATGCTACTTACTACCGCCTATGCCCCGAAACGTCTGCAAAGTGTCCATCATTGGACCTCCTCAGTCTGGGAAGAGCACCATGTGTAGGCTTCTAGCTCAGCACGTTGGTGCTGTGGTAGTGAACGTGGAGGAGCTGTTTGCCAAGGCTCGACAGGAAATGCTTGCAAAAGTCAAAGAGGAGACAGTGCAGGCTGCCATAGAGAAAATCAAAAAGGCCGTGAATGAGGATGGTGAGAAATGTGATCACATTTACATGCAGTCACTATAAAATTAGTCTTTTTCTAGCTAATGTGTGTGGACACACACATTTCCATTTGTATTTTTAAATGATAGTCTTATAGGTGTGAGCCTGAATCAAATGTTTTTGTGCTGTTATCAGTGACAGAGGATCATCCAGACGTGGAGGCCATGGTGTTCTATGCCATGGAGAAAGTCAAACGGAGCTCCTCTTTCTTTGATCTGCTTGCTGATGTGTTGAAGAAACGCGTAAAAGAGGTTTGAAAGCCAACATTTAGGATATTGTTATTAAAACAAATGAAGGAGGGAAACAGTTGATGTTGCAGATAGAGGAGGTGGACTCTGATGCTGAGGCCAAGACTGGATGGGTGTTTGACAACTTCCCCAACAACCCTTCCCACGTTGAAATGTTACGGGACGCTGACATAATGCCAGATGTAGTCTTCATTCTCAGAGACGAAGGAAATCAAGGTAGACATTTTCTTTTTCAGAACATTTTTGGCTATTTCCATGCAGGTGTGTGTCCTGCCTGTCTATCAACAAGCCGTCTCATGAAAACATGGAGGGATTTTACTCAAACTCTCTGAGAGACACTAGTCAATGTACATCTAGAAGTCATTCACTTTCGGAGACAGTCCTATTGTTTTTGTATTTTGAACTTGGTTATCCAGGCGTCCCCGAGATGAAGGAGTTTAAGTTGCGGATTGAGAACAAGTGGACTCGGATGGAGCAGGCTCTACCGGACAATCACTGCATTTTAGAGATTGAGAGCAAAAGCCCTGAGAACTTGCTACAAGAGATGATCCAACAGATGGAAAGTGAGTGTAAAACCCTCCAAAGTAGACATATCTTTATTTAACGGTTACTTGTTACTACGTTTTCTTAAAAGTAATTGCCAAGTTATTTAAAGTGTCGCATTTTGTTAAAAAATACCTAATCCGGTCTTTTGCTGAAACGTTTGATCTCGACAAGAACCCTTTAGGTACGTGGCCAGAATGTTGTCTGATACTGACCCGCAGGAGTATGAGGATGCCGAGGCTGAAGAGCACAGTGACGATGATGCCGAATTGAAAGATGAAGATGAAGTTAGTAAATCAGCAAGACTTGCACTTAAAAATGAGCGATTTTCAAATGAAAAGTGTGTTTTATTTATTCTTACAACACAGAGAGGCATCCAAACAACCAAAAGATTATTAGGTGATACCAAGCATTTCTGCCCTGTTGCTTTAAAACATCACAACGTCCTGCAGCCTTGTATGGATATGTACCCCACTGTGTACCGCGAGAGGACTTTCTACTTTTCTGACAGTACAGCCAGACGTTCCTTCATTCAAAAGCCTGAGCTGTTCACTGCACAGACTGAGCCTCTTCAGGTAAAAACGACAAAACAACAGGAAGAAAGAAGCTGTTTGATGAGAAGAAATTCCCTCATCGTGTTTTTTTTCTTCCTGTTTTAAGCCTCCTGCCGTACGAGTCCTCTTACTGGGAGTCAGAGGCTCAGAGAAGTCCGCTCATGGTGAATGCGTCGCACATGAGCTGGGGCTGTTCTATATAAATTTCAGACAACTGCTCCAAAACCTGATCATAGCCAAGACAAAGAAACAAATTACTTATTCTGATGAGGAAATGCTGATAGAGAAGAGATGTGAGTTCCTGGAAGCCTCTATGAAGAGATCTAAGAAGGGAGACCAGAAAGAGATGGAAAACTGTTCAGACTTTCAGGTCAGTTTTAATTTTTTTTACTCTTTCCTTCTCTTAGCTTTTAGAAAAGCTGACCAATCCTCATAAGAGATCCCATCTTTGTTTTTGCGTCTACAGCCGGAGACGGTGATGACTGGAGCTGAACTGGCTATCAAAGCCCACTTATCTGATGGAGCGCCACTGAGTTCCAAGGTCTTGCAAACGATCGTCACACCTTTCTGGAAACAAGAGCCTTTCATGTAATTACACATTTCAGCTTGTTTTTCTCAAAGATAAACCTGAATCCTTTTGTTTTGGAGAAAATATGACTATATCTGCTGGAGGTTCTTTGCTTTGTAGGTCAACAGGCTTCATTTTGGATGGCTTCCCTCATGATATCAACCAAGCAAAGTTCATGTTGGAAAAACACCTTTACCCTGATGTTGTCGCAGTCATGGAAACTGATGTTACAGCTGTCCAAAAGCACTTGCTTCCAATCGACCTGGAGAAATGGCGTATGGAACATCTTAGATATCAGAATCTCAGGCATGAGGCAAAAATGACTCAGGTGACAAAACAAATCATTTGTTGTTAACTTAAAAGGTGTGGAACATTGAAAAAACCATGTTGTAGTTATTTTTTTCTGATTATAATAGTTCACTCTGAGTTTTTCATGCAGGCTAAACAAAAAATAGTCTCCTACACCTATCTCCTGCATTAGCTTCTGATAGGAAACAGACGGTGAAACTCTAGAATTTGAAAATCCTGACAGATCTACGTCACACTGTCAGTTAGCATTCATGGACTCGCCCATCTTGACTTGCAACGGGGAAGGTTGTTGTTGGTTTAGCGTCCAGAAAACAGCAGAGAATGTTTCAGTTAGTAGAAGCTAAACGTCAACATTAGCAGCTCCACCACACAGCAGAGCTCCTTCATTTGTGGCGATAAAACATTCATGTTGCAAGTCTGTGGTAAAATCACATTTCTGGTATCCAGTTCAAGATGAAATGGGCCAAAAATAATGTATAATTATAGGTATATATATATATATATATATATATATAATTGTAAAAGACTCCAAATCCTGACCCCCCACCCACCACCACTACCATCAGTATGACTTACAAGGCATTCATTCCTACTAGACTCAAGACTCAAGACTCAAGACAACTTTATTAGTCCCCGAGGGGCAATTCGAGACAGCATTGTGAAGCAAACGGCACTAAAATCTCTAAATTCTAAAAACACATCCAAATTACACATTTGTAAAACCCATAAAACCTATATACACAATCATGTCATAAACTCACATGTGAATGACCAACAATGATTAAAACTTTGGCTCACTCACACACACACACACACACACACACACACACACACACACACACACATGTAACTACATGCACGCACACATACAAGTAATGCACACTCCCCCTATCTGCACTGAGAATTAAGAAGAAGCACAGCTCTGGGAACAAAGGTTGTTTACTTAAACAAGTTTTCAACACCTTTGAACTCATTTGCTTCCAGTTAATTATAGGAGTATTTGACACTATTTTTTTGGTTTGATATAGAAAATGAAAATCTCCAAGAGAGCTGAACTCAGAGAAGGGCAAGAACAACACCAAGCCAGGGTACAGGTGAGTGAACTTATCATTAACAACAGATTTTGTCAGAATTGATTAATCCTCTACCCATCTGCTGCTGTGGCCCCCAGACTCTGGAACTCTCTCCCCGTAAGCCTGAGATCAGTGGACTCAGTGGTCTCCTTTAAAAAGCAGCTGAAGACTCACTTGTTCAAACTAGATTTTGTGTGACCTTCTTCACCACTCTCTCTTTATTCTGCTCTCCCCACCTATTCCACCTTCCTCAGGATCCACTGATTTCCCTCTTTCCTGTTCACTCTCTCTTTCTTAACATTTTTAATCACAATTGCCTATTTTTGCTCATTTTAAATATATTTTTAACCATTTTCTAAATTCTTTTTTATATTTTTACATTTTTTGTTTTTGTGAAGCACCTCGTGATTTTTATCTTGAGAGGCGCTATAGAAATGATACTTTCTTGTTCTTCTCCTTCCCCCTTTACGCCCAACAAAACAGTTTAGAGGACGAGAAGAGGAGGAAGATTCTAGTGAAGAAGATGAAGGTTTAGATGACACAGAAGAATCTTCCTCTGAAGAGGAAGAAGAGATGGCAGATATGGAAGGCGATGATGTAAAGAGGGAGCTGGAGATGAAAATAGAGAAGCGTTTTGAAACAGATGAAACCAACATTGCTGGCGTGACGGTACACAGACATAAATTCCTTAAGGCTCTTAAACTGGTGTAGATCAGGTCCAGATTTTGTGAAGTATTCTTATAATCATAAAGGCTTGATTTGTTGTTTTTGGACAGCAACTTCTCAGGGGATATAAAGTACCCACATTGAAAATCAGTGCATCAATCCAGCACGAGACTCCTCAGCATCTCCTACTCCGAGGCATCCAGCCTCTGCTGGTAAACAGAGAATCACTCTTCCAAACGTGTCAACCCATCTCAGTCAGCCTTGCGCACAAGCTGCTGCTCTCCTGCTATAAGAATCACAGTGCCTTTGGCTTCTGGGACCCCATCCAGGTAGGCCCCACAGGAACGCCAACAATACATTTGTTTTCTGCTTTGTGGTGTTGTTTTGAGCAAATAAGCTAATGTGCTTTTTTATTCATGCGCAACCCTGACGTGCAGCTGTACAAAACCAGAGATGCGGCTGTGCTTCCGCAATGGCCTCTCAACACAACATACCCCCTCATCCACAATCAGTTCATCTATTTCTTTGCATCCAAAGAAAACCTCGATGAATTTATGCTCAACCCTTTAAAATACCTTCGGCAGCCTGTGCCCCCTCCAGCGTTGCCAATAAAAATAGCTGTCCTCGGGCCTCCTAAATCTGGAAAAACAACAGGTAAGAGGCGGAAAAGCTGAAGGTGAATATATTTTTATTCTCAACGTTAACATTTTCAGTTTTTAATTTTTTATTTTTTTAGTGGCAGAGACATTCGCTCAAAAGTATGGCTTGGTTCATCTGTCCATCGGTAGCGCCATGCATATGGTGCTCAACGATCAGGGTCACACTGAGCTAGCGGTTCAGATAGGAGGCTACCTCTCGCAGGGTCGTGCTGTACCTGATGAACTGGCCATTCAGTGTCTGAAGGTGGCACTGCTAAATCCAGTCTGCAGCTTGCGAGGGTAAAATCATCAGTCCATTACATTTATTACATTTTAGGCTGTTTTAATTTTACCTTCATGAAATCTTTGTAATGCATTTTGATGTTTAAACAAGAGTACCACAGTCTTACATGCGCTGATCATGAAACCTGCACATTTCAGGTATGTTCTGGATGGCTTTCCAGTTACCCTTAGCCAGGCTAAATTAATGGAGTCTGAGAGCATCATCCCTTTGATTGTAGTAGAGCTTGAGCTTGATGAGGTGGAGGTGAACAAAAGACGCCTTGAAGACAGTGCGATGCCCAAACAGTAAGAGATCTGTTTTTTAGTAAAGAACTGTTACTATAATGGGCCATTCCCATCTGTACCGGGTCGGTCCTGGCCGGGTAGCTTAGGTTGTTTACATATCTGGGTGGCCTGGTATTTTTCCGGGCCAACCAAGGCTCATTCTCAGCCCTCTTCTCGAGGGGGTCTGCTTCAGGCCGACCAGGGCCAACACACCCACTGCTGACAGCAAATTCACACCTTCCATTAGAGCAAGCCTCTGATTGGTGGGTAGAATCAGCCCACATGGGCTTAAGACAAGGATGTGTGGAATCAACCGGGCCAGGCTGGGGCCGACTGGGGCTACCCGGCCCGGGCCGACCCGGTACAGATGGGAATGGCCCATAAGACAGCCAACTCAAACAAAATGTGTCCTGCTCACCTCCCCCCTCATTACAGACCTCACCCGAAGAATGACGGCTCTGAAATCCTCCACAACTCCTTTGACTATTTCAAGGAGGAGGTGGAACACGTGAGGCGCTACTACCAAGAGCAGCATCAGAACTGGTTCATCTTTAATGGCTCGAAGAACAAATGGTGGATCTTTACTAACATTTTGAAGGAAGTCTGCATCAGCGTGAAACACATGCAGTCTTACACAGAAAGGACACAAAGTGGTGAGTGTTAAATCATTTGCATTTTTAGGTGAGCAAATGTTGGTGTAGCATCTTTAAATTTCAACAAAAGGTGAAAGGTTAGGAATGATGGGTGAGTGGGTTTAATTTTTCTAACCCTGTGTTGTTTAACAGGGCGAGCTGCCTGCATCAGCAGGTTGTGCATCACACCCAAACAGCTGGCCTGTCAGCTGGGAGAGTTTGGCCAGTACTGTCCTGTCTGTCTGGCTCTACATCAGCACCTGGTTGACCTCTCAGACGATACAGCCTTGACTCATGCCGCAGAGTACAGGACACATTATTACAAGTTATGTGACCAAAACCATCTGCAGGTAGGTGTTCTGGAGGTGTTACGGATGACAGTTTCATTCAGAAAGGGGGGAAAGTCTAACTATATACAACATTTTTACATTTTCACCCGACAACAGAAGTTCCTGTCGACTCCTGATCAGTTCGTGGCGCCTAACTGCCCACACACCCTCCCACAACCCCACCTGCTGCCAAGAAAGCTAACCGAGGCTCAGGTGAAAGCCAAGTTCCCACAACAAGCCGAAATGCAAGGCTTCTGCCCTGTTACTTATAAGGATGGAAAACAGAGGTATTCAGTCTAATGACCTAATATAATTCAGAAAATATCATCCAGTTGTGTGTGTCTTTAAAACACACAAATCCAATACAGATGTTAAACCTCAAAAAATAATTTTCTTTATAGATACGAAGCTCTGGTTCAAGGAAGCTTGGAGTATGCGGTGGAATACAAAGAGCGAATCTACATTTGTGAGAGCAAACAGAAACAGGATACATTCATGAGGTATCTAATAGTTAAAATCAAAATATAGAAACCGTTTCTCCAAAAAATATTAAATGGATTTAACTCATTCTCTAGAATTCCTGAAACCTACTGGGACCAGAAGCTTCCCGTTAAAGTCCCTCCTGTTTGTGAGCCTGTTTCCCTCACCTCCCTTCCAAATATGGGCTACTTGGAACAGGTGATGCCACCTCACAGTTACATTAACTGTAATTAGCAGCACAGCACGTTGAGAGTTTAACGTTTTCTTTGAGTTTGTAGGGAGTGGCACGGCCGCTGATTAAGGCCATGACAGCTGCTGGGATCTTCAAACCCAAGTTCCCTTTCCTCAGCATACAGAGATCAGCTGAAATCTATGTCGCCTACCATTTAAAGGGTAAGCTATAGATGATGCAGGTTTAAATTAAATATCACAAAAAATATTGTGAGTCAGTTAAATGAATTGTTTAGATTTGCATTCCCCCAAATTTAACATCTTGTTTCTAAAGCTTTTGTTTTTCCTGTCTTTCTTTCTTTTTAATCAAAATTTTGTGTAACTTTTCTTTTAAGCTTTTAATCCAAAGAGTCCAGAACATGTTCGGCAGATGTACAAAAGGAAGCTTGCCTTGTTTGAGGAGGACTGCGCACTCATCCCCTACCTGAGCTCAGAAATGAGAGGGGCCTACAAGCCTCCAGGCGAACGCTCCAAAGATTTTGAAGCCAAACTAAACAGATTCCTGGCACTTGAAGCCCTAGGACCTCAAACCGACCTGTAGCTACGCTTGTTTTCCTTCCTTCTCGTAAAATATGCCAGCATTTTTCAGAAGCTGGTATAATATTTACATTAAAAGTGTTGTTGTGACTTTAATAAGTCATTAGTTTGGAGCTGCATAAAATATGTGTAAACGTGTATGTTATCAGAAATAAAGGTTGAAGCATTATTTTAGGATCTTTGTTTTTATTGGTCAACTATAATCTGACATATGACCCGTGGGACAATTTGGCATGTAACAATCATAGATTTTGATAATTATAGTGTGAGAAAAAACACTCAGTTTCATCATCATTATCATTATCACTCTTAAGTTGCAAGTGCGGCATTCTGGCCACAAGTGGCAGTGGAAGTCTTGAGTGACATTTCATTTATCCTGTACTGGGTCGTTTTAGCACACACTGATTCAAGAAATGATTTAAAGATATGAAAAAGTTGCAGAGCATGGCTTTAATATTACATGAAGTCACTATTACGTTCTCGACTCTAGTTAAGAAAATCTATGGAACTAGGATTGGGACAATATTCAGCGTAACTTGTACCAAGTTTTGTAACTTCAAACATGTTTTATCACATGTAACTTTGGATTCGTAACTTGTAACTTTGTATAAAAAATACATGTACAAAATACAATGTTCCTGTTACAAAACAAGAATACAAGTACGAATTGAGAATTACAAGTTACAAATCCAAAGTTACAAGTTACGAATCCAAAGTTACATGTGATGAAACATGTTTGAAGTTACAAAACTTGGTACAAGTTACGCTGAATATTGTCCCAATCCTAGTTCCATAATAACCCAGCCCATTCAACTGGGTAGACACTGGGAAAGACTTGGGAAGGAAACAGGTTGTAAAATAATAATGTATCTTTCTTTGTGTTCAATTATTATTACAAGGATTTACAAACAAAAACAAAAACCCCACAGCTGGGACCAGGAATTATTACACACAAAAACAAAAATAGCTGGCATTTCTTTACCCACAAATTATCTTTAACTGGTACAAACAAAACAAAAAAGATTCTAAAGCTAGTTACAAAATACCACCAAGTTTAAAACAAATCCTCTCCCCAGTTTGGACCAGAAAAGTGCAGAGATCTACTCTCATTTAGATAGCACTTTCTCAAGACGTCCGCAGACCAAAACAATTAGCAGAGAAAGGGAGCGTGGAGTGGAGTCAACCCATGGGTTAGGAGTTGCTCCTCGTGTAATGGTTCCAACGACGTTTTATCCTCCTCATGTGGCAACCGCAATCAGTCCCAATCCGCCTCAGCTGCAGCCTCTGCTCCGGAGCTGTCCGTTGATGTCATTTGGGGCAAAGTTCACACAAGGCCGCTGGTCCTGAACTCCGCAGCAGTCAAAGAGTCCTTTTTCTCAGAGGATCCATGTTGTGTGACATGAAAAGTAAATAAAATTAAAACACAACTATATACTTCACACAAACTACCGGGGAACGTAACAGTCACCCATAAAAAAAATCTGGTTTGAATAGAATAACTTGTTTCTTTCACTTCATAATATGATCTCCGTTTAGATCTTTGTCATGAAGGGCGAATGGTGATGTGCATCTCTTCAAAAAAAGTTAGGATTTTAAGGTTTTTGTCAGCCACTAGTTCCAGGCCAGGTGTTGCATGATTGCAGAATAGATTTGTGTTCCTGAGGTGGTCGTTGGTTTTTCTCCTTTGGTCCAAAGGTTAACAATCCAGTATCAGTTCTCACACAAGAGATGAGCAAACACTTCCTGCAATCTAAAGGAGAAGGAGGCAAATACAAGGTAAAAAAACAAATGACCCGAGTCCATGCATAAACTATATTGATTTCAATTAATCTCTTTTTATTATTTTTTTCCTGCAGTTTTTTATGAAGGCCACCCAACTGCAGCAGATGAAAGATGACTTCATTTACATTAAAACCACAAAACACATCACAGAGGGGATATTTACCCAAAAGGGTGAAGTATGTGTGACTTTAGCAGACAGGCTGGGATTCAGCTACACTATTCAAATCGTGTTCAATAATTACAGATGATTTTTTTTTCAGTGCTTGAAGGACTTGAAGCGTAAGTACCTGGAAAAGAGGATCGTTACACAAGCTGGGCGTCAATCAATGAAGTGCAGACTCAACTGGAGGAATTACAGAAACAAATGGCGTGGGCTTTGGTGAGGCGATCTGCAGTTGGCCTTATGCTTCTGGTGCGTTGTAATATACCTGTTTATAAATGTTTAAGGTGTCTGAGATGGAGAAGGAGTTGGAGCCGATGAAGGAAAAGCTGCAGTGTGACAGACGAGCTACAGAGAAATATGATGAGAAGGTGGATGAATGGAAGGTAAACTAGTTTTATGATATTCTTCTGACAATGCCTCATGTCTGATAAAGCAAATGTTTTTTTTTGTTTGTTTGTTTCTGTTGTAATTCCAACATCCTTCTATTTTTAATGTCGTTTCACAGAATAAGGTGGAGCAAGCAGAGCAGAAGCTCAAGCACATCCAGGATCAGTTGGAGGAGATCATCCAGCAAGTCGGGGAGCTTCAGCCTAAATGTGCTGAACTTGAGACAGAGGCCCAAAAATGCAACAAACTCCTCAAGACCTGCGAGGTTGGAGTTCCCCTTTTCAAAAGTTTTCAGACACTTCTGATGAGTTTGGGGTGAGGGTTTAAGTACAGTACAACCATCTTGGTAAACCTTACAGCTGATGGGTTTGGTTTGGTTTAGGAGAGCCTGTCCTTCCTCGCATTGTTTAAAAGTTATGAAGCTGTTCTCACACTGACACCGTATTTTTTTTCTGTGTGTATTCCAGCTCGTCATCCATCAGTGTAGAACTAATCTTAGAGATCTGGAAAAGGACAAAGTTCAGCTGTCCTCACGTTTAAAAGATCTCCATCTTAGGTTGGATGTTACTTTGGTTTTATCGTCTCATTTCTACTAAATGGTTGCTCATCTTGTATTTTAGTTCTGAAAATGCCTTTTTTGATTCCCAGTTTTTTAAATGTAGTGATCGATCACCTTTTCTGCCCTTTAGCATCACTCAGACGATGGATCCAGAAAGCCAGCTGAGGACTGAGCGTGTGGAGCAGATTCAGACTGAGCTGGATAACCTGGAACATCAGAGCTCCACTCTGAGCCATCAGATTGACCAGTATCGGTGGCACAGGAGTTAAGTGCTCGCCTCGCAATCGGTAGGTCGCAGGTTCGAGACCCGCTCAGTCTGTCGCTGTCGTTGTGTCCTTGGGCAAGACACTTAACCCACATTGCCTGCTGGTGGTGGTCGGAGGGACCGGTGGCGCCTGTGCTTGGCAGCCTCGCCTCTGTCAGTGCGCCCCAGGGCAGCTGTGGCTACATTGTAGCTCATCCCCACCAGTGTGTGAATGGGTGTGTGAATGGGTGAATGACTGATTGTGTTGTAAAGTGCCTTGGGGGGTTCCAGGACTCTAGAAGGCGCTATATATACAGGCCATTTACTATTTACCATTTTACCATCCTGCAGCCGCATGAAAGAAGAACAAGGGAAGATGAGGTATCTGGATCAATAACACATTTGTAACGGTTATGTGTTGGTCTCTTCTGCCACCTTCAACAGAGAGAAGTTTAGCTGAGCTGTATGCATTATTGAATCAAAGGTTTTGTCAGTGCAGCCTTTAAAAGGCTCCAGATTTGTTTAGTTCTTATTTTGAACTCCAGATTTTCCCTCAGAGCTGACACAGAGGTGGAATGCTTATTTCTTGTCGTATCTACAGGAAAGAATTTGATGTTCTCCGGAGATCCATTGAAGCAAACAAAAGGACACTAGATACTATGATGGCCAGCCGCTCTAATCGACTTCGGCGTTTTGGAGATCAGATGCCGGAACTGCTCAGTGACATCGAGGAAGCCCACAGAAAAGGCCTGTTCAAGCACACACCCCGAGGACCTCTGGGTAAGACTCTTTCCCTTGTCTTTGTCTGTTTTGTTTACTAAATTTTCATTCAGAATAAATAATTAGACAATAAAACACTAATAATGATAGATTTCATTGTAATACTTTTTAAAGTCATGCTTGTTTCTGTTTTTGATCCTATAAAACCAACAGAGTTAACTCATTAACTGCCAGCCATTTTCTGATCAGAAAAGCCCTTCGCTGCCAGCGTTTTCACAGTTTTTTTAAGAGTCACAGAAAGTTGCGTGCTATGATGATGTCAACGCCAAAACTACCAAAACTACCAAAACAAAGCGGAGACTCACCTGTTACATCAGGAAAAATCCGCGAGTTTCGAGCATTATCCATTCTTTAAAAACTCATAGTCGAATTGTGATCGGCAGAAGCTTTTCCGACTCGTGCCTCACTTTTTTTTTACAGCAGCGGCCCAAAATGATCTCCTAACACATGGATTTTCAGCTTCCTGATCACGTGGCGTGTTACGTACGCGGATGACATGATGTCAGCTTTAGAGCTGGGATGTTTGTTGTCCCGGCGTGGGGGCTCGTTCCGACGCCCACACAGTAAAAAAAAAAATGCAAATGACGACTTTAGTCGTCAATGGCAGTGAATGAGTTAATAAACGTTGTTGTACCTTGTATCTATATTTTCCTTCTTCAGGTTACCTCTTTAGTCTGAAGGACCCAGAGCTGGCCCTGGCTGTTGAAGTATGTCTTAAAAGCCTTCTGAGAGCTTTCACATGCGACAACTATGAAGATGAGAAGGTGTTCAAAAGCATCATCATCGTTTAATTATCAATTCACCAGAATAAATACAATAAAGTTTATCTTTCACCAAATAGAATATTTACTCAGACATCACAATATAACTATAGACACATTACTTGTCTTTGTGTGTGTGTGTGTGTGTGTGTGTGTGTGTGTGTGCGTGCGTGCGTGCGTGCGTGCGTGCGTGTGTGTGTGTGTGTGTGTGTGTGTGTGTGTGTGTCTGCTCTGTCTTCTCCATCCCCAGTGAGTCGTGGAGGATGGCTGCTTATGCCGAGCCAGGATCCTCTGGAGGTTTCTTCCTGTTAAAAGGGAGTTTTCCTCTCCACTGTCACTAAATGCTTGCTTAATATGAGGATTGCTGTAAAGTCACTGACACTAGTCAGTGACTTGATGCAATTTGCTGGGTTCCTTATGTAGGAAACATTATTTCTGATTGGCTTAATGAACTGACCTGAATTGGAATGTTTATTATGTGAAGTGCCTTGAGACGACTCTTGTCGTGATTTGGCGCTTTATAAATAAAATTGAATTGAATTGAATTAAAGTTCTCAGAGGCCCCAGGCCGACAATCATTACCAGCCATTGGACATGATGCTGCAGGTAGGTGCCAGCCAGCGCCACAGACAGTTCATTTTCTTCACGCAGAACATGAGGTAAACTACAGTTAAATTAAAACATTAAATGTGATAAATCAGTCATAATAAGGTGAAAAAACTCAGATTTTTTTATTTAAAAATGAGGAATTTAAACTAAGGTCATGCCTTTTACCCCCCCACCCCCACCCCCCACCCCCACCCCCCCAGCTCTCTCCCTACGAGCAGCAGCATCAACATCCTCCAAGTCGAGGATCCTGACCGGGGGCAGAGTGAATAGCACGGTTTTAGGATTCAGTCAAGCTCGCTACTGCCTCAGAAATCTTATTATAAACTCCTTCCCAGATGTTTACAGATGTTATTTAAAATTAAAGGGGAAAAGTATAAACTAAGAGTAAAAGTTCTGGTTAAAATAAATTAAGCAGTTTTATGGATTCATTTGATGAACTGAAATTGTTTCATCTCACCTTTTAAGTAAAAGAAATAAAATACAAAGATTTGGCCTTTTATTTATTGATTTACTTATTTATTTGGTTATCGTGTATTGTGTTCCTGTAAAATTGTTTATATATTTTTTCTTTTATCTGAATTGTGTATTTTTTACAAGGAATGTTAATGTTTGAAATGGAAAATAATTTTCTGTCTAAGATCAGAATTATGGAGTATTTGGACATAATTAACTGTCGGAACCGTTATTAATACCTCTAAGCGGTTGGACGGGGTGCAGTAGATCAAGAAACGATACTGCTTCACTATTTTCTTTGAACAAAGGTTAAGAAAAGTGCAGATTAGATGAAACGCCCTAGGCTCAGTGTGGATGGAGTGTGTGTGGTTCTAGACTGGCCTGCACTTAACTCGACTTTCACAGGTTAACAGCCTCTTTGATTAAAGCATTTCACTTGATGCTCAGAGACCTTTTTGAGGTCAGTCTTGTGAGGAAGAAGGATTTGCACCTTTAAGGGCTGCATGCCAAACTCACACACACACACACACACACACCAGATCAGAAGAATGCATCCCAGACTCATTCACATAACGAATGCTGACAGCATACCTGACCTCTTCAGCTAACTGGCGCCTTTCCTTACATTTTTTAAATCTTGACCAAGGAGATAAAATGAAGAACATTTCGCTTCCATCAAGGCTGTTTAACAGGAATTCGGCAACAAGGTCGCTTGGAACTCCGAGTTCAGCAAAATACCAACTACATGTCGACTGCATGGATCAATCCGGCTGTGATGACGGCCAGAAAGCGTTTGATGACAGCAGACCAAATGAGAGGCGACACAGAGAAATACACTTCTCCATTGGACCAGAGAAGTATGAGCCTTTGATGGATGATGAGGTGAAAGAGAAGAAAAAGAATGAAAACTACAAGAAAGTGAAGAAGGTTGGTAATTTCTTTTTAAATATGTAATTAGGAGTTTTTTTTCCTGATGTAGATGATGGTGATGATGTAGCTGGAGATACAGAAATGTGTTTTTAACGAGTTTGGGTTTTTGTTTCAGGTTGGATGGGTTAAAGAAAGTACTGCATCTTTATTTTGTAAAAGAAAAGTATTTTAAAAACCACAAAGTAAACTATACAAGATGCTAAAATCTCCATTCCAGGTGGATCCAATTAACACTATTGCAAAATTAAACCGTTATGCTGAGTATATTTGAAGTTTACTTCACTCTGTTGCAATTGTTTCTGTTTTTCACACTAATTTGCATTTAAACTCCCCCTAACAAGTATTTTTTAATTGTTTTTAACAAGAAAACATACAAAATAAAAAACAGAACATGTCTCGCAGAACGTGTCATAACTTAACGTTTGTATCCCTGATATTTTATGATAGAAATGCACAACTAAAGGTAAATGCATATTGAAGCAAACCTTTTTTAAAATTGCACGTAAAAATGTGCAATAAATTGTGAAATCATGCACAGCAGATTAATTTCACATTATTTATAAATAACATTACTTTGTCTCAATTTCCAGTTTTATTCCCTGTTAAACTAGCTGATTGAGCTTTCCTGATTTCCTATTTTGGGAGAATAAGGTCTTTATTTTGATAGGTTTTTTTAACTTCCTGTTTCTGCTGCAGCCAGTCGGCCTTTTCCTGTTCAGGATACACAAGACAATAGTGCTCACAGGACATTCTTGTCAAGAGGAGAGCGTATTTCTTTTCCTGCTGCTCTTATTGTGTCCAAAAGCGCCACATTTACAGATATGAAATCATGTTGTGCGTCAGATCTTGACCTTGTTATTCTTATCCTGCTCGATTTCTGAAAGTTCCCAGAAATCACCAGAGAAAACTGAAAGAATCAAAATGATTTTGTTTAACTGACTTTTTTTTTCTACCTTCAGAATGTTGGAAAGGCACTTCGTACCACCTGGAAGTGTTTGATGCTTGGCTTTTATAATTTTGCCCTCGCCTACTCGACTCCAATCACAGTGGCTGCTGCTTTTTCTCCTGATTTTCACCATGACAGAAGCAGGACATAAGCTACAATGCATGGATTCAGATTTTACTGTATAAAGCTGAAAACAAGAGACTCTGACCAGACTTTTTAATTATAATATGTTGGTGCATTTGGAAATGTATACATTTAAGTATGTCTGTTTTTAAGTTGAATGTAAAGAAAATATTGTTTTTTATTCCTTTGATTATTTACTACAGTAATATGATTAAATTTACTTTGAAAAGCACATCAAACAGATAGCCAAGCTAAGGATTAGCTTAAGTAGTTTTATCATTATTGAAAATTATTTTCATGTGGAATCTGTCAGATATTAGCAAATGTGTTGACTCAAGAGGTCAGTGATAAGTATGTATTTGTAAGTGATTAAGTTGGGACATTTTTATGAGTGGGACAAATGAGGAGAAGCAGAGAGTGATTAAGAAAAGAAAAGCTTTGTGATTCCATAGAAAATATCCCTTTAATAAATAGTTAATAAATGTACAAAAGAGAAAAAGACATTTCTGCATTATCAATAAGTGTACAGCAACATAAAAGTACATTTGAACGTCTTTTGATCAGCAAACTGTAAAAAGGTCTAATGAAAATAAAGTTTTAAGTTTGTTTACATTTTGAAACCAACTGATTGGTTGTCTCTGCGACGTCATTCGTCTGCTACTTCCGCATTTCCGTCTCGCTTGAAGCTAAAGCTAAGCTAGGAGTGAAATTGGTGTTTTTTGAAGATGACGCAGCAGAAAACAGACAATATCAGCTCAGTCCCTATCGACGGATTTAGCAACTTGAGAATAACGTCAATATGGACGTTTCTCATGTCTGTGAGTTGATTTTTATTCCCACAAATTAGCATTTTAATGCTAGCTGACACACTCCCGACTGTCTTCTAATAGTTGTGTTTTGGTTCGCAGGTGCAGTGGTCGGAGCCTTGGCTTATTGGACTCATAGTGTTTCATGTTGTGTGTTTGTTTCTGACTGTAGTGTCCTGCAGGTATTACAGAGCTCAGATCTGCCACTTTCTGCTCATCGGTACGTGTTCAAGCCCCATCACAGCAAGAATCCGATCAGTACATGAAAACTTCTGGTCCGAGAAAGACTTTTTAATGCTATATAGTGTTAAATTGGTGGTTTAAATTTAATTTAAGGTATTAAGGCTGGTAATCAGCAAAAATGTTAATGTGATTGTTGACAAAAATAATTTAGGACACCTGGATAACAACCCTTCTACACAATTTGAGGCTAAATTATTTCAGTTATGCAAGATCAGTCTCTGCAACTATGAGGTTTATTAATAAGAGTAGATAATAAATCTACAAAACTCATCTTGGCCTTCAAACATGACTGTTTGTTTGAACTGGGTGTAGTAACATCTCTTTTTACTAATATTTCACTGTTCTACATGGGTGACGTGTCTCCTGATATGTTTTGTGTTTAATAGAAAAGCCTGTCTCTTAGTGGGTCATTTATTTGGGGGGGGGGGGGGGGGGGGGGTTTGATTTAGTTCAAATTAGTGTCAGAGAAATATGACCTGATACTGCTGACACAAGAATACGATAGGAAAGTGGCATTTTTGTACTAAATTTTCCTTCAATCTGACTCTTTTCCACAGTTAGCCTTGTTTACAGTGCTGAATATCTAAATGAGCTGGCAGCCATGAACTGGAAGTAAGGTTACATATCTATGTATCTGGAACTTTTCTCTTTGTAAAACTACAGTTAACCACGTATTTGTTTCTCTCAGGGCTTTTTCTAATTTCCAGTATTTTGACTCAAAGGGCATGTTCATCTCTCTGGTCTACTCTGTTCCTCTTTTGCTCAATGCAATCATCATTGTGGTAAGTTTGAACCTTTTTTCATCTGAACACACTACAGCAGCATATTTGCCAGTTTTACCACTGGTTTATGGAAATCTGTCCCTTTTTTTGGCAGATGGTGTGGGTGCACAGAACCTTTTCCACCATGACTGAACTCAAGACACTTCAGCTGAAGAGGAAAGCACGGCGTGAGAAGAGAGATAAGAATGACTGATCCCACTGATGTCCGTACATGGACTTCATTTAGGGGCATTAATGCAATTTCTCCCCTACTAATCCTGACTTTTGGAAAGTAAAAGCAGAATCTTACGTTGTGACTTTAAATGGACTTTTGTCTCATGGACATAATGTCAGAAATTTGTCTACTATTTTTGTCCCTGGTGTGATGGTTAAACAATGCTGCTGAGTGGACCTTTAACTCTAAATCTTTATGGAGACCAAAGACGTTTTGCTGTTTCGTATTTAATGTTTCAAAATGCAACATAAGGAACTTTTGTGTTGCTGTTTGGTTCAAGATTAAAATCAGAGAAGAAACATGTTGAAGTGTTCTCAAACAAGGGGGTGTTAGATGAACCTCCTTGTATTCCTGTAACAACAATTAGAATGGGGCTTTGTCATTGTGTGTCTAACAGCTAAAGACGAATGTATCTGTTAGAATTTAAATAGTCTGTTATGAAGACACATCAGACGTGACTGCTTTTGTGTTGATTTGTGATCAATTAAAAAAGAACCACATTTCTTAACTCTGTTACGCCCGTCACACCAATAGTTGCTCCAGAGCCCAATCTGAAAGCTGAATTTCTTTTTTTTTTTGGTTAGACTTCTTCAAACGTTTATATAACCTGGTCTGATCTTAGTAAAGTCTTATTTTTCCCCAAACCAATTTTTTTTTCTAGTAGCTTGAGGTTTCAATGATACTTTGGGCATTCTGTTGCCTCAGCTGCCATCAATTGTTCGCTGGGTTCAGATCAACACAGACGTTTGTATTTTAACAAATAGGTAAAAAACATGAATTGCTGGAGTTTTACCAGGTGAATTCCTACTAATCTGCATACTTAAATTTAAGTTATGTATTTATGTCCTATTGATAATATATATGTGATAAGCTAATTTGCACCAAAAAATGAACAAATAATTTAGCAAAAACTGCTTTCATCTGGGGTGGTGCAGTGGTTAGAGCTGTTGCCTTGTAGCAAGAAGGTCCTAGGTTCACTTCCCAGCCTAGGATCTTTCTGCATGGAGTTTGCATGTTCTCCCTGTGCATGCGTGGGTTCTCTCCGGGTGCTCCGGCTTCCTCCCGCAGTCCAAAAACATGACTGTTAGGTTAATTGGTCTGTCTAAATTGTCCTTAGGTGTGTGTGTGTGCATGATTGTTTGTCCTGGGAGTCTCTGTGTTTCCCTGTGATGGACTGGCTCTCTGTCCAGGGTGTACCCCGCCTGATTGCCCATTGACCGCTGGAGATGGGCACCAGTCCCCCCCCCCCCCCCCCCCCCCCCCCCCCCCCGATTCCTACATGGACAAGCAGGTTCAGAAGATGGATGGATGGATGCTTTCATCTGTGAAACCGGATAAATGCATCATGAAAATAATATTGGTAATGCAACGATTCATAAAACAAAGTTGCATGAACTACTATGAGTTTTACAAGGCCAAAGCTCCCTTAAGAAGACAGTAATTTAGTTTATAGTTAGAATTTGTAATAAAATGTATTTCTCTTTGGAAAAATATGGAAGAAATACACCAGAATTACTTTTTTAAGACATTGAATTTATGATATTGAAGTTTTATTTTGTGAAATTATATATCTTAATTGTACACCAGCAAATTTTTTTATTCATAAAAATTCTACTGCAGATTTTTATCTTCAAAAATTCAACAACAGAATTTGAATGTAGAAAATGTATCAGCAAAGATTCAACAACTAAGGTGACCTAGCCAAATGATTGCCATTCAATCGAGTCGAGTGGCTTTTAGCCAATCAAATTACGCCTCTCTGATGACTCGATCGAGTGATGATTACTTTGTCTTGGCTCACCCAGGAGGTGACGGCATTTGTTGAATTACTGCTGCCAAAGTATGGATGTTGAATTTTTAACCCTCCCACTGTCTTTATGGGTGACCCCGCGAGGAAAGTTGGCCATTGAGCAGGGTTGGTTTGTTCCTTGAGGTCCACGTGGCAGGGGTGAGGTGGTGCTCACTCCTCACCCCTGCCACGTGGACCCAAGGGACAAACCATCAACCCTGCTCAGTGGTCAACTTTCCTCACGGGGTCACACCCATTAGGGCAGTGGGAGGGTTAAAAATGAAATTCTGCTGCAGAGTTTTTACGTATAACATGTTTGCTGTTGTATTTTACTTAAAAACATTTTTCAATAACATAAATTACCCAACACTAAAATTCTATGTCATTAATTCAATTCCTACAATAGTGATGCATTTCTTCCATAGGAAGGCCTAAAATAACTTAAAAGACGGAGACCATGACACCATCTCCGATGAGGATCACCCACCAGTATCAGCTAAAACCTGCTGATTTTATTCATGTCAGTAACAAATGCCCCACTGCTCTGGTTTATACCAGCTCTGGAGCGTCAATGAGGAGGTTAAAGAACGTCGATGCACACTTACTAACAGTGCACCACTAGACGGCAGCATAGATTCAATGACATGAAAACCACAGCTGTCTACACCTCAGAAACATCTTCTTCAGCTCACACTCCATTTATCACCTGTTATCTCTGTCAGGGTTTAAAAGGATGGTTTCCCCTGACCATGCTGCATCTTTTTAAAGAAAATCTCTATCACTCCTTATTTGTTTTCTCAGATGAATCTGGCATGAGTTGGCATGCTTTATGCACATTCATCTGTCAGGATGCATTAGGTTTGGACGTGAATGATTGGACTGCAGGCACTGGAACGCATCAAAAAGGACTGGGAGGGAGAGGAATGTGTGTGTTGTTCAGTCAGAGGTGGTGATGTGTGGAGACTGGTCAAGACTCCAGCTCTGGCGTAGGAGGTTCCAGGAGACATTAAGCATGTAGGGTTTGCACTTTGACCTCACTTAGTGCACAAGAGCAGGTGTTAACCCCCCCCCCCCTCCCCACACACACACACATACACACTGTCCCAAACGTGTGTGTGGCATTGCTTTTTTGTTGAGTCCATTTCAGTCGAAAATTAAAGATTAGCAAACAAAGAACTAATTTAGGTTTTTGTATTTTTTTTTCACAAAATAAAACACTAGACTGACCAACATTGGCAGTGAAACTCTTCTAGTTTGAGATGCAGAAGTCAAATTCAGCACTTCATCCTTCACAAGGACTTGTTCATGTAGGACGGATCGTTGCATGACATCCAGTCTGGTGCGATTGTGAAAAACGTGAGAAAATAAAACTCCTTCATGCAGATGGTCATATTGTAGCAGTAGCAGTTGCTCAAGCGGTAGAGCAGGTTGTCCGGTAATCGGAAGGTTGGAGGTTCGATCCTGAGAATGCTGCTGTTGTGTCCTTGGGCAAGACACCTAACCCGCCTTGCCTGCTGGTGGTGGTCAGAGGGACAGAGGCACCAGTGCTCGGCAGGCCTCGCCTCTATCAGTGCGCCCCAGGGCAGCTTCGGCTACATCGTAGCTCATCCCCTACCAGCATGTGAATGTGTGAATGGCTGATTGTGTTGTGAAACGCCTTGGGGGGTTGTAGAACCTTAAGAAGGCACTATACAAATACAAGCCACCCTATGAAACAGCACATTTCACCAGAAGCTAACTAAATTGTAAATAATTTGCTCAAATTTAAACGGAAGGAAAGAAAAAAAAATCCCATTTTAGTGTGAAAGGGCCAGCTACACTGACATGTGTCAAACATTTCCAGACTATTTTTGGTTTGTTAATTTAAGGTTAATTAAATATTAACAAAAGAAGCTAATAAGATTTTTAAAAATGCTGCAAAAACAGTAAATTTCCATTAAACATTCCAATTATTTTACAAATTGACCAGTTCTTTAATAAGGATAATATAATAGTTATATTAATCAAAGAAATATTTAATAAAATATTAACATTTGCCATCTGTAGTTTTTAGAAGCTCCGCTAGAGGGCAGAGGACATGTACAAAATTTAAAACAGGAGATTTTTTTTTTTTATTTAAAAAGGGGGACTGCAGGGTGTGTTCCAACTACAGGGGGATCTCACTCCTGAGCCTTCCTGGTAAAGTCTATTCAGGGGTTCTGGAGAGGAGGGTCCATCGGATTGTTGAACCTCATGTGGTTTTCGTCCTGGCCGTGGAACACTGGACCAGCTCTATACCCTCAGGGGGTTCCTGGAGGGTGCGTGGGAATTTGCCCAACCAGTCTACATGTGTTTTGTGGATTTGAAGAAGGTGTTTGACCGCGTCCCTCGGGGGGCCCTGTGGGGGTACTCCGGGAGTATGGGGTACCAGGCCCTCTGATACGGGCTGTTAGGTCCCTGTATGACCGGTGTCAGAACTTGGTCCGCATTGCCGGCAGTAAGTCGGGCTCGTTCCCAGTGAGAGTTGGACTCCGCCAAGGCTGCCCTTTGTCACCGATTCTGTTCATAACCTTTATGGACAGGATTTCTAGGTGCAGCCAAGGTGTGGAGGGCATCCGTTTTGGTGGCCTGAGGATCAGGTCTCTGCTTTTTGCAGATGATGTGGTCCTGTTGGCTTCATCAGAACGTGATCTTCAGCTTTCGCTGGAGCAGTTCGCAGCCGAGTGTGAAGCAGATGGGATGAGAATCAGATCCTCTAAATCTGAGACCATGGTCTTAATTCAGAAAAGGGTAGAATGCCTTCTCCGGGTCAGGGATGAGGTCCTGCCCCAAGTGGAGGAGTTTAAGTATCTCGGGGTCTTGTTCACGAGTGAGGGAAAACCTGAGCATGAGATCGATAGGTGGATTGATGCTGCATCTGCAGTGATGCAGACGTTGTACCGGTCTGTCGTGGTGAAGAGAGAGCTGAGTCAGAAGGTGAGGCTCTCAATTTACCGGTCGATCTACATTCCTACCCTCACCTATGGTCATGAGCTTTGGGTAGTGACCCAAAGAACGAGATCGCGGATACAAGCGGCCGAAATGAGTTTTCTCCAAAGAGTGGCTGGGCTCTCCCTTAGAGATAGGGTGAGAAGCTCGGTCATTCGGGAGGGGCTCGGAGTAGACCCGCTACTCCTCCACATCGAGAGGAGCCAGTTGAGGTGGCTCGGGCATCTGGTCTGGATGCCTCCTGGACGCCTCCCTGGTGAGGTTTTCCAGGCACATCCAACCGGGAGGAGGCCTAAAGGGAGACCCAGGACACAGTGGAGGGACTATGTCTCTCGCCTGGCCAGGGAGTTGGCCCAAGTGGCTGGGGAGAGGTAAGTCTAGGCCTCTCACCTTAGGCTACTGCCCCCGCGACCCGACTCCGGATAAGTGGATGAAAATGGATGGATTTTGAAGAAAGTGCTAATCTTGTTAAAGAGGTAGAGCTCCTAGAATTAGGTGCACCAAACAGAACACATTTACAACAATACAATTACATTTGTTTAAAAACCTAGGAAGTGTAGTAAATTCCAGAGTTTGGTTGCATTTGCAATGTGTTGCATAAAGATTAAAGCTCCAAAACTTCTGTGGATTTAACATCCTTGTTAAAAATGCATCAACCTCTGTCAGACCAAGAAATATTTTCACTGTGATGACGTCAATTACATTCCTGCCAACTATTAGGACGTGCTGGTGGTCCTTTTGGAACTAATACT